CTACATTGTACAGCCCATAATAATAGTAACAGGTTTATAGAGCTCATCTGCGGGGAAGGGCAGCACTGTGTATCTTCTCTGGATTTTGACTTTAGTGTCAATAAACTCATCTCAGTATTGAAAACTCCATGTTTGAGGCCAGGGAAAAATATTTTAGTAGAATCTTTTGCCTTGAGACCTCTTCCGGAGCCCAAGCCCTGGAGCTGGTGTGTTGTTTGACTTTGACTGATGTGTTTCAGGTACACGTATGGGAAGCCAGTAAAGGGAACTGTAACAGTCACTTGCCTTTCTGTCTCTTACTGGACAAACAAGAGAAATATAACAACAACAATGGAGGTGAGTCCTCTGTTAGCAGTTTGTAGTGTTGTAGACTTTAAGCCTGTGTCTCCTTTTGTAGGTTAAATATGCCTGGGACCATTCTGGAGTGCTGAGTTCAGCTGGCATGGTCTATGGAGTGACTTGCATGGATAGTGTTAAACTCTCTTTAATTTCCAGAATAAACTGTCTGCATATAGACTGCTTGTTGGGAATGATACTTGGCTGCTGTGGTCCCTTGAACTGTGCCTGGAACATATTTTGGAGAGTGCTGGTTGGCCCAGGTAGAAAAACTTTCCAGGAGCCACTGTAGCAGTGTAGGTGATGGAGGAGCAGCACCCAGGAGTGCTCCCTGGCCCCATGTGTGCTCCTGCACACTCAGCCCTGTGTTACAAGGCCAGAAGAGACCACTGCAATTGTCTAGGTGGAGCTCTAGCGTGGTAGAGACCAAAGTGTTTTGCCTAGTAATTACATTGGAGTTACTGTACTAGTTGTAACCTGGAGCATGACATTTAAAAAGGCATGCGGTTTTGGTCTGAAGACTTGAAAGTGGTAACAGATTCATGGCATCCATTTGCAAAATCAGGCATTTTGCTTTTGAGCTGTGGACTATGTTTAAAACAAGTTCAATTTCTGCTCAGTGGTGTTCTTGTCATTTTCTGTTGACTGACTTCAGTACCTTCAGCAGCACTTAGCCTACAGAAACTCTGAGCTCAGGGTTGTTGGGTAGGGTATACCTCCCTCTTCAGGCAGGGACCTCTTCGTGTTATTTTTCTGGAATGCTCTGCTCTGGCCATGTAGAATCGGAAAAAAAAAAAAAGTAACTTTCTCCATAAGGCATTGTTGACTCTAAAAAAATAAATAACTTGTTTTGGATGTAATAAAAATGAAAGCAAAAACCAAAGGTCAGCTTTCATAATTTTCTGGTGTTGACACTCCAGAACTTATATGTGGTGAGAGCTACAGGGCTTCACCAGAAATAAGCTGCTGTAGAAGGAAAGGTGTCTTTGGCTTTGCTGGAACAACAATTATTATTTTTTTTTTCTACATTGCAGATAAATGGGTCTGTGAATGTAACCTGTAACAAGCTTATGTTGCAAAACTTGAACACTGATCAGTCGTGGCACCAAGGTGACAGTGATTACACAGAGCCTATAGAAATTATCGCAGTGGTCACTGAGTCGCTCACAGGTATGTGGCTGTGTGATATCTTCTGAGAGAAATCCAAAGAGTAGGTGGTGCTGGAAGAGCTTACTGCTACGTGGAAAGGCTTGGAGCACTAGAAAAGCATCATGTGCTGGTGGCAGTACAAATCGTCTGCATGCAAATATATTATCTGAAAAAATTTATTATTGGAACTGTTGCTTGGCTAGGTATTAAATAGTTTAACCAGCTTTTAACTCAGCTGAATACAGTTCTACACTAAATGATTTATTAAATAACCAAGAAATATGTTCAGATGGGGGCTTAAAGTCAATGACTGATCACTTTTGATGAGAAAAGTGGGCATAAAGAATTGTTAGCGTTAGCATTAGCCTGAGTCTTACAAACTTACGTTTAATCATAAACTTACTGTACTTGTTTCTTTGTAAGCCACGTCAGTAGAAAGAGTTCTCTTGCCCCATATTGTCCACTGCCTACCCTTTTCTAGACTGGCTGATTTGCAAACTGAGCCTTTTTGTGAGTTCATGTGCCACTGCACCTTGCGTATTAGAAAAAAAATGTTTGTACAAAATTTCTGCCTGTCCCAGAAACTAGGTTTCATCACAGGCTTTCTGTAGAAACACCAGCAAGGTGAAGTTGGCTGATTTGGGATTCCTAGGTTCCTTCCTTGTGTCATTCTGACATAGTCTCCGTGGAATAGAGCACTACGTGGTACGGCTTATTTAGCATCGTGGAAGACAGTACCAGTACATATACCACCTTTGTACTGATCCTTAGCTGGAAGGAAGAACAGCGATAGGAGTGGAAATGGTGATAAATATGATAAAATTATTTAAAAATCATGGACAGTAAATAGTATTGCTGCTAAAAGAATAACTATGTTAAAAGTGTGTTGTCTAAACACCTACAATTATTCAACAGGAATCTCCCGAAATTCAAGTACCGTCATATTTCCAAAGCAAAGCGACTATTTTATTGAGTTTATGGACTACTCTAGAGTTATAAAACCTTCTCTGAACTTCATAGCTACTGTAAGTTCTTTTGTTTTATTATATGCTCTGCATAAACAAATGTGACTTCTCCTGTATTTTTGTTCAGATGCCAAAGTTTGCCTCAGATTTTTTGTGTAATTTGCAGATTTGTTTTCAAATTACATCTTTTTCATGATACATGTCAGCAAATACTAGACTTAGAGATGTTTGCTCTAGAAAAGGATAAAGTGACAGGGAATGCTGTAGTGTTGTCAGGGTATATTTGAGTATAGTTTGTCAGCATTCTTACGGAAGAGGAATCTTTGCAGTTTCTAGCTGACTGTTTTCTAGGTGACTGTGCTTTGAAACAATAGAGTAGTTATTGAGTCCCAACTCTCCCAATAATATTTGTGTATGGAAGTACGAGTGTGTGTATGTGTGTTTGTATATACACACACACAAATATATACTTTATGTAATGCATATATATAGTTAAGCAGCTGTTACAAAATTCAGTAAAACTTATCAAGCCATATTGCTTTCAAGTGAAAGTGTATTTTCTGCCTTCTGCCCTGTCTTTCTCATACCAACTGCAATCTTCTCATAGAAGTATTTCACGTTCTTCATGGTGTTCATAGGCTGTGTTCAGTATTTTTACATTTAGCAGAGGTTGCATATTGCATCACTGCATTTTGCTTGAAAAGGGAAATCAACTTTAAAATTCTTAAGCATTTACTGTATAGAAATCAGATCTAAATACCGATAAAATGGGCTGAATATACACTTTCAGAGTAGATTGGCTCAAGCCATAGCTTTGTGCTAGCCTGGTCATTTGGGTCTTTGGTTTTTGTCCTTTTAATTTTCCTTGCCAGCATCCCAGTTTGAGTCCAGCTCTGACCTGTTGCTGCTTCTTCTTCCAAAGATGAGCTGAGTGAGCATTTATCAATGCTCATAGCTGGGAGAGAAGCAGGTATCAGTTATGCTTCCAGAGCAGTGTGAAGGAACAACTGCTGCCATTACTAGTAAGTGGAGATCTGTGTACAGTGGAGATATGCTGTACAGAGAGAGGATAGGAAAATAATGGCAGAGGAGGAGAGGTAATGGAGTGACAGACCTCTGGATTGAAAAAGAAAATGGAAACATTAGTTCAGTGCTTTTAAATGTAGAAGTTTACTATGGATGAGAATATTCGTGAATGTGGGAATAAAGGTCGATGTAAGTTGATGAGTGAAGAAGTTGCAGACTGTTAATTTTGGGCCTGTTTTAAGTTTTTTCTTCAGCTCATTTGATGAATCCATAAAGACATCTGACTCTGCACCATCTCTGCTCATCAGACACATTTTCCTGTACATGATGTAATGCTAGGTTGTCTTTTGTTTTGGTTGTGAGATGCAACTGATAAAATTAAATACTCAGGCTCTAGGTAGGGTATATATAATTTGCCTGGGCGACAAGGATTACAAGAGTAACTGGGAGAGCTGAAAGACAGGTCACCTTTCAGTTCCATCTGCTTTGCTTTTGCTCTTTTTTTACTTCCTCGAGTTATGAATAATTTTGTTCTTTGCTGACTTGCCTACCTGCAGTGCTCACAAGGGATTAAAAATAGTTTCTGATGTGTGAGAAATCTGAGGATGCCCTTGTTCTTTTGATAGGATGTGAGTGCAAATATATTGTTACATGTTACGTGTTGTGCATTTTAGCTTTACTCTGATGGGTGTTTTGTTTCTTTTTGTTTTTAGCTAAAGGTGACACGTTCTGATAGCAACCAGCTGACAGCTGAAGAGAGGCAGAATCTTGTCACAATCACTGCACAACAGTCAGACCTACTTTTTCACCACTCTTCACTTTCTCACCTTGAGAATGAGGCAACAGAGGAGAGAAATCTGACAGTCCATGTCCTGAATTACACTGTCCCAGAAAATGGAATAATTGATATTGAGTTTCCAATCCTGTCTGATACAAAAACTCTGAGAGTTCAGGTATTGCTTTGTAATATGTTGCTTTGGAGCAGCGACACATCAATTGAGTGGGCTGTGATCGATGATATGCTGTTCCTGCCATCTGCAACGGCTGATACGTCACCTACCATAATTTTCCTTACCTCATATTCATGTTAGAGCTGGAAAGAAAGTGACAGATCCTGTCTAAATGTGATCTAATAATTGCAACAAAATAGCAAGGGGAAAAACAAAACAGATACGCAAAGCAAGCAGTAAAGTGATCCTGTACTGCCATTAAGGCTACCGTGCTCTTGTAAACAGTACTATATACGTGAATATCACACGGATTTTGCTGTTTTGTTAAGAGCTTTGTTCTGCGTTGTCTTGCAGGCGAAGTTCCTCAGCAGTAGGACTGACATAGGTGTTTATGATGTGTTCAGCTCCCCTAGCCAGACTTATCTCCAGGTTAAAACAAAGAGCCAGGATATAAAGGTACAGTCTGAGACAAAATGTGCCAAGATAAGATCCGTTCCTGTTACTCATCACGTTTCCATACTGATCCATATGAATCGTATGTTTTTCCTAGGCTGGGAAGCCTTTTGAGCTGAGCATTGCAAGCAACAAGCCAGTGAGAGAGTTCCACTATCTGGTAAGTTACAGGTCTTACATATGGGAACAATCCAAGATGACTGTTACCAACTAGAGAAATACTCTAGTGAGTGGAGTGTGATCGAACGTTAGAGAGATTCAGCATTTTTTGTTGTGCTTTGTGAAAGAGGTCGCGCAAAAACTTGCTTTCCACTAGGATGGTCCTTTTTGAAAGAGAGCTCCATATTGCTGCCTAGCAGAAATGCCCCTGGCACTGTAAGGTGGTGCTCTCTGGGAGAAGCACGTCTCTGATTTGGTTGTTGGGTTACCTCTGCCTGAAGATGTGTGAGACAAGGCATAACCGAGAGCATTACTGTCTCTGACTGTGCGGAGCACCCATGACAGGAGAAGGGACAGGGATGTCCCAGGAGCAGCCCAAGCTGGGGTTTGTCAGCAGGTCCTGGAGATGCAGGTGGAAGCAGGGGTCTGGCAGAGCCTGTATGCAGGTTCAGGACTGTCACGGCTGAGCCTGCAGGCACAGGGTGAGGAGAAGACCTGCTTGCTGGGGAAGCAGATGGTCCAGTGGGCAGGGTGGCATTGTTAAGAAGGGAGCTTTGTAGGAAGCATTTTAAAATAAATGGCTTGGGTAATGGCTTGTGTAATGGCTTGGCTGCTGTACTATATCTTACAGCATCTGGACTGAAGGGTTTATTATATGTACTGTCATCGGTCTTCCATCCTGTCCTTAATACGTGTCTGTCTTGTGCACAGTCTACATCATAATGATCATGATAAATACAATTATTTTTTTTTCCAGAGACTTTAACAGTAAACTAAAGGAAATAGAATAACGAAATGTATAGAATAAGGAAAAACTTAGGACAATATAAAATATGGGCATTCATGTGTATTTTCAAAAATAGAAACACTTTCTAAAAGATTTTAAAAAAATTATGTCCATGCAGTTAAAGTCAGGGAACTGCCCTTCATGGCTCTGTCTTCATTAGTAAGTGGTATGGTCGAATAGGAACAGATTTCGAGTGTAAAAGTTGATGCTGTGGACCTTAACTCCAGGTATTTCGAGGTACCTTCAGCCTAGCTCTAATCTGATCTGATAAAATGAATGCCTGTTTTTAACTGGAACACTTTAGTTGGTGACAGTTCATGCTCTCCATGGTGCAAACCAAAGTGTGGTAAGTAGGGGTGTTTGGGAGATCGGCTTTTAAAATTGTATTCCTGATACAAACTGAAATGCTATTATAGATGACCCACATAACCCAACTGTATTACTGTTGTATTTTTATGTTCTTATAGCATAAGTTGTGCTGTGCACTCATCATTCTAGTTCTTGACTTGTCCATAGCGATACAGGAATCAAAGCATGGAAAAAATCTGTTTCTAATATTTAAATACTACGTTATTTGCCTCTTTCGTGCCCAGTCTCATAGAACTGGTCAATCACTTAGTAAAAAAAAATATAAATCACAGCTATATGTCTCTTTTTTTAACAGCTATTCGTAGAAGGAATCACAGAGCTTATGACATATTGAGATACCAACAGATTGAGTGTTTCATTTTTCCCTTTCAGGTGTTATCTAAGGAACAGATTATGGATTTTGGCACAAAGGCTGCAAAAACATTCACTTTAACAGCAGAAAATTCCTGGGCTCCTTTGGCATGTATACTTGTATTCTACGTTGATGAGCTTGGAGTGGTTGTAAATGATGCTCTCACTGTCCCCATTCAGCCTGCTTTGGATGACAAGGTAACTATATTGAACTTGAGTCTGAGACTGTGTTTTTTGTCTGTTTGTTGTGTGGTAAACAGTATTTTAGATCATAGGATTGTAAATGTAAAAACTTCCTCATTGATGATCTAATCTGAAGTTTGTGTAAGTCCTTGGAAAGACTTTAGATAATACCAGTGCAGTTAGGGTCTGGCTGTTGCATACCTGAAAGGAGTTTCTACTAGCCCTCTGTTTTCCGCATAAACAAGGCACAGCATCTCCTTGTGGTTTTAATAGTTTGGTCAATTACTGAGCCAAAGATTTCTCTGGCCAATATAGTGGAAAGGTACTAAATGTGGAACTGTAAATGTTTGTGAAGACCTTGTTCTAGCCAGGCAGTGGTCACATTGTACATGTACCATCATCAGCGTGCATCATCAGCGAATGTGAGCAATGTTTGTGTTCCATGTGACTGTGCATACTTTAACTCAAAAAAAGCTTGAAGAGGAGTGGGAAAACTACTGTTGCAGCAAAGAATTGATGTTCTCCAGCTTACTTACCAGGATGAGATTTGGTCCTTTGGGAAAATAAAAGCCTCACTGTGACTTTTTACAGGTGAGACCACCCAGAGGCTCTTGATGGGTTCAAAGTCTTCCTCCCCTAGGGAAACTGTAACACTTATAACTAGACATTAGTAGCGAGGCTGTTTGTCTTACTCCTGCATGAAAAATTTCTCCATTTGCTGCTTGATTTATCCAAACTCAGGGTATGAGTGTTATTATCACAGGATAAGGAAGTGGAGAGGCAGGATGGTGAGAGAGTTGCAGGCACACTTTTGTTGATTATGGTTATTATGTATCAGCGTCTGAAGAACCTAAATAAATAGAAAACAAATAAGATAATTTAGTTGAAACTTGGGAGTTTTAGGGTAGATATAGGAAGATATGTCTAATGAGGAAGACATAACAGTTTGGTTCAGCCTTGTGGAGACAAATAGAAATTTTTCCACTAATTGCAGTGTCCGCAAATAAGATTGCATTCTATTTTGTAGCAATGAGGTAAGGTCTGATCTTGAAAATACCAGTTTGATTAAATGTAGTTTATAGATGAAAAACACAATCCTAGTGTATATACAGAGAGGATGAAAAATTGAGACGCTAAATGATGAGAATTTAATATCAGCCTTACTGTATTTACTATATTTCACTGGATAGTGAAAAAAAATGTAAGATAAGGAAAGAACTAGTCTCAAAGGCTTCAAAATTTCAAACTATTTCAGTTTCGCCTTTTCAATGCTAGCCACTGAAACTGATTTGGTACTATGGAAAGCTACTTTCTCTGTAGTTTGCAGCCTTGACAAGCATTTAATTTCTGTAAATGAGTTGGTACAATCAGATATACAGAGCTGCAGTGCCACAGTATACCCAGAAACAAACCATTTTTCTACGTGAATCAGTCTGATGCCAATTTACAGTGAAGCACGTGGTGCTAATCCCGTTTATGTTGACAACATTAGTGTGTTTGCTATTGCTCTGTGGTTTTCATACTGAATGTGCTTGGAAGATACCATTCCACAGATTTATCAGAGGAAGGGTATGATGAGGCTGTAGATTCAGACATCTAAATACATGTATTTACATCTAGGGTCAGGATTCAGTTGCTTAAGCACAGACATCTAGTGTCCTCCAAGAGGCCACAGGGTGTTCAAGATGTCATCATGGGACAGGTGGATGTTTCAAAAGTCCTATGGGAGACCTATCCCTTTCTGGAATGGGAGCTGAGGGTCAGACAGCGTGCTGTGGGACGTCTCAAGGGGTTCCAGGTGCCTTCAGGTGACTCTTATCTCTGTATATGTGAGTTATGTGTCTAAACTGAGCTTGCTCCAAAAGAGTGTGGTTTTAAGTTATTCTTCCTGGACTCCAGTGCCTGCTCCAGAAGGGTAAGTTATGTGTCCCGTCTGGCAGCACCACTCAACATGTCTTGGATACCTTTGAACATCTCAAATGGCGCTAAGTGCCCATGTTTATGTAAATGAATCCCACCTGCAGCCAGTACAGTCAGTGGAGCTTGTAGGAGTGTTTTCTTCACGACCACTTGGATTTATGCTTCATGGTGAGCCAAACTGCTCTCTAGTTTCCATTATTTCTTTTGACTCTGTGTGTGATGGAAGCTTAAACGCTAAACTGAAATGTGGACAGATAAATGTAGGTAACTTAAATTCAGAGCTGAATTCCATCTCAAGACTTGGTATTGGTGGTGTTTTGATGAGGGAAAAGAGTAAAATTGTTTATTTTAAACAGAAATTCTGCATTGTTATCTGATGCAGTGGAGATGGGATGCATTAGAAATACCTTAACAGCAGATGACCTTTCCTCTCTTCAGTACTCTGGGAAGGCATACTGGTGCTGTATTAGCTTACTTATTTCCTTCTTCCTTACCCATGCACCTATTGCATATATTCCTGGCTGAATTTTTTCCCCAAATAAGCTTTTCCTAAGTATGTTACATGCTGTGTTGTGCATTGATAAACAGTGAATGCATTTCTTTTACTGCACTCAGCTGTAGAAACTGTTATGTCCTTGTGGCTCAAGAGATTGCTGCTTGTATACTAGGAGCTGGTTGAAATGACAGTGGATCATGATGTGGACTTCCCACCAGTCCAAGGAACTGGTGAGCTAGGAGAGCAAGAGAGCAAAATGAATGCCATAGTATTTTCCCAAAGGAAATAGGGAAAGCAAATCCAAAGTCTTAATTATAGCTAATTAAGCTAAGAAAATGCTTCCTCGAAGTTGTTAGTGGCTGTAAATATCATTGTATAATTTAAACCAGTGCTGTTTGTTACTTTTTTCTAGATTAAAATCTCTTGGAGCAAAGATAAGGTCAAGCCGTCTGAGAAGGTCTCCCTTAAAATCAGTACAACAGAACCAGGATCAGTAATTGGACTTGCAGTTGTTGACAGAAGTACAAAGCTTCTAGGAGAAAGTAGTGACATAACAGAAGATTCTGTAAGTAAATGGTAAAAAATGGTTTTCATTGTTGTGTGCATGAAAGATGCATGTTAATAGAAATGTTACAGTTTATATGCTGAATGAATAATGTTCTTTGGACGGGATTTTAGTTCTTAATTACCTGAATGTAAGCAAAGACTTCTTTACTCTGAGGGTGACAGAGCACTGGAACAGGCTGCCCAGAGAGGCTGTGGAGTCTCCTTCCTTGGAGATATTCAGAACCCACCTGGATGCAGTCCTGTGTGACCTGCTGTAGGTGAACCTGCTTTAGCAGGGGGGTTGGACTAGATGATCTCCAGAGGTCCCTTCCAACCCCTAACATTCTGTGCCTCTGTAATTATGCAAATATTTTTTACTTCTGCACGTAGTTTATCAACATGAGCGGAAAAGATGGTAAGGCTTACAAGGCAATAGGCTCAGCATTTCTAATGCCAGTTAATACTTTATTGTTCTTCCATTTGATAAACTGCTCAGTTAACACTTGGCAGTTTATAAAAAAGTCTGTAAAACTCCCTAATGATGTGTGCTTCGTGCTCTTTAAAATTGGTAGTATAAAATAAAGAAAGAATTTTATTTTTTGAAAAGCAGAATAAATTATTCATAATTTTGACTTACCTTTTCTTGCATCAACAGTTTGAAAGAGCTGTCAATATACATAATTTCTAAAGCGCACAAATGACATAGCCTAAGTACCATAGAATATCAGTGGGCTATAGGCTCCTGTTTTACGCTTACATACTCTTGGCTTCTCTTCCATTAATTATGAAACCGTTGCAGCCTAATCCCCTTCATCCTGTCACAGATTCTTTTCCTTTTGACATGAGAGCTAAGCGAGCTGCTGCTTGAGGTACAGCTCTATGAATTACCATCTACAACAGTTTGCATTCGCTCTTCGGGTGATTTTGTTTTTTCTTGTCCTAGGTCTTCCATGAACTCAATTTATACAGCACGGTGCAGTATTTCCCCCTGGTCAGAGGTTCTTTTGGTGTCTTTCAGGTACTTTGTTTTGGATTTGTTTTTTTTTTTTTTAAGTTCTAAGCTGGGGTTTTTTACTGCTTAGTGATTTGCACATCACTTGCTAGAAGAAAATGCCCTTTGTAAAGTTTGGGACTGTAGACAATGTACTGTTTTCATGGCTTACGGGTTTTGAATGATGAAATTTATCAATATGTAAATACTGTGAATGCCAATAAATGTTTATACTTTCATAAATATGGATTGCTTTATGCTTGATATTGTCTTCCCTTTGAAAAGCAGTCGGTTGTTAAGACAATATTCAGATTCAGATGATCTTAGTTTTATTGCTTCCTGTATATTACTTGTTTTAGCTCTATGATTGCTTTATTATGATAACTTTATTTTCTTAAAAAGAAAAAAAAAAGAAAATAAATAAGCACCGTTGATGTCCTGAATGCCCTGTATTGAGATATACTGTATAAATTTTATCCAGAAATGCAGCCTTTGGGTATCAACTGATGCAATTCTTGAGGAGGATAAGGAACATTTTCTTTGTAAGTAATAAAAATAAATGTGGCCAAATCTAATTTACTGAGTGGGGAAGGAGGTCCACAGGTTAGGGCCCTTATTAGGTCTTACTGTACTGTGTAAATTACCGTTTCCAAGGTTCAAGACGTATGAAATGCATATGACTAGTATTTTACAAACTTCCTTTTTGCTGCTGTCCTGAGTGACACTGCCCCTTAAAGGCCTGGGGCTGAATGGAGTTTTGATTTCCAGTTGATACATGTTGCAGTGGTTTGTCATGTGTAGGTCTATTACACCAGTTCCATGATCACTCCAGAAAGTAAAGTAGAAATGTAGAAATTTTAGCTTGTGTCAAACTTTTTTTATTCTTAAAAAAAAAAAGGAAGGAAAAAAAATAGTTCCTAATGTCACAGAGTAGTGTTACTGTATGTAACAAAGCTGTAGATTATACTCCAAACACAGTATTAATTTGACTCCTCTTAACTAGTATTAATTTGATTTTTCTTAAACCTAGATACTTGTAGGTAGAACAATATTTTTTATTTTGTAGATGGTGGAATGATACCCATAGAGGATGGTTTTGGTGATGATATGCCAGTATCTAAAAATGGACCTCCTGATTTCAGCAGTCTCTATGTGAGGACACATTTTCCGGAAACTTGGCTTTGGATCGACACTAAAACTAGGTATAAGATTAGAAGCAAATGGAAACTGATTTACACTTGCTGTTGTTATTTTGTTGGTTTTAGTAGCATTCTGCACTGAAGAATACTACTTAAAAATGTAGTATTATTTATATTCTGCTACCACCTAGAGGCCCCAAGTGAGATTGTAGACCCACCAAATGAGGCATTGTACAATTGCACAATATAGGACAATGCCTGACTGAAGGCCTTGTAGTTTCAATAGAAACTAGATAAAAATCCTGGAGACAAAAGAAACTCTCTTCCATTACAGGTGGGGAGATAACAGATAGGGACACCCAGTCTTTTTCTGTACAGTACATGAGAAGCTGGTGATTAGCTCAGAAAAGGAAATCAGTTCCTATCTGCACCTAATTCAATGAGCAGTTCAAACTGTCAAATGGTGGTGAAATCTGACCTGTGTCGGGAAGCACAAATCTTGTATTCTTTCACAGCTAAGTTTGCAGAGCAACTGTCATCTGGGATTGTTTTAAAGGATCTGTAAAAGTTGGTAACATGTAATGTGATTCAATGTAATTACCTTCAGTTCATGTAATTTAGAATAATGTAAACTCTTTAATAATTATGATCCCATCACAATGATTTCTAAACTATTAGGCAAAGAAAAAACAGATAATCAGCAGCTTTTCCTGGCAAGAGTTTGGACTTATTTTAGTGTCCCCCTACTGATGCCTGTAAATGGATCTTTTGAAAGTCTGCTCTTCCCTTCTACCATCAGATCTGACACAGACACCACATTGGAAGTCATTGTACCTGATACCATCACATCCTGGGTAGCCAGTGCTTTTGTGATGTCTGAAAACAGCGGGCTTGGAGTGACGGCTGCTCCCGTGGAGGTACCATGGCATTAGATAGTTCTCCTTTAAACGCTGGTAAACTGTAGGTTGTTACTGGAAGGTGTATTTTAGTTCTAACAGCAGCTGTCTCCTTATACTAATGAAGTGATTAAGAGGCTGTGTGTATTCAAACTGTAAAGAAAACATCATCACTGAAGACATATGGGATACTTTATCTGCCTCCCCTTCCTGCCCATATAAATATCTCGGATGTTACACAGATACTTGGTTGCCTATTTCTGTTGGAGCAGTTGTTTTTTTAAAGCACTTTCAGGATGTGCCCACTTCAGAACCTTTGTATGTAGAAAAGGGGAATGATTGCCTGAGGACAGCGTGTTTCCATGTTCTCTTGGCTCTGACAAGAGGGCTTTCTATGAGTTGACAGTGCATAGAGGGAGGTGTGCACAGACTGGCTGGGGAGAGGTGGCTGGGTTGGGAGAGGCACATTACCTGCTGGAAAGATCAAGTCACTGCGCTGCTCTGCTAACACCCTAGGAGGGAGAATTGCTTAAAGACTAAATTCTGGCCTCACTTTCATTTATCTGTCAAAACCAGCCTTGGGCTAAACATAGGTGCTACTTTTTGGGTGATTTAACTTGAGGAGCAGAGGGGACACTGAGAGCCAGCATTGGGATGAGATGCTTCTTGCTGCCAAGTTCCTGTCTCCTGAGCCTCTTTTTGTGCTTCCAAGTGTTTGAGGAGTTTAAGAATTTAAGTTAAATTCGTCACTGCTCAGGTTAGATCTCTAACCTGAGATTCCCAACATGCAAGTGCAGTTGTCCTAGGCTCACTCTGTATTCATGGGAGCAGCTACTTAGAGTTATTTAGCCTGTTTGAAATAGGAACTACTTTTTGTAGTCTCGTTTAGCTAGTATTTTATATACGTTGAATAATCCTCTGAAGGTAGTTATCTCCTTTCATTCATTATGTAAAGATCCTAGAGAAACTATGTTATTAAGTGAGACAACTCCACTTAAGTGTCTAAGGTTAGAAAGGTTGAAACTGTGCAGTACTGGGTCATAGGTTTCCAACTTGATGTCAGGACTAGTGCAAGCATAGCTTGGAGACAGCCATTTACCCATTGAAGTTCTCATGTCCTCAGATTCTTGGGGAGGGGCAACTTTTGGAATCCAAACTAGGTCCAGATTTCATAGTTGGCTGCTACACCAGACACAGAACGTGTGCTTTGAACATCCTGATCATAACTCCACCACAGAATTTGGAGCCCAATCTGGATTTTGCTGCTAAGGCTCCTTTGAGACTGGAATCATGATTCTTGTTTCTTTCACTTGGCTCGGCAGAGATGGGACAGAAAGAGGAATAGTTTTCTGATTCAAGTGGTATGAAAATATATACTTGGCCTCTCATCCTTGAATTTGAGAAGGCTGCAAGTAGAACAGATGTTGAGATTATTATTTAACTATAATCACCCACATGCACTGTTCAGAACTTCACCCTCATTGGGATGTTTAGATTACTCTTGGAGTTCCATATGGCTGAAACATGTTAATCAGTACCATATAGAGAGGCAAATAAAAGGAATGCACGAAAACTGTAATGGGGAAATAAGTGACATCTGCATGCTTAATGTCATTTATTGCTTTGCATCTTGTTTTTACTTGACTTCTACTATGCAGAGTGTTGATAATTTTACCCTGTCATATTTTATTGCAATATACCAGAATATTCCTGAGTGTAAAACTTCAGTATTGGAAGAGTTGTAGAGAAAAGCAAAACAAAAAAAGACAAAAGAAAATAGGTACATAGGGAAAAATCTAGATTAAGAGCCAACCAAAAATTCCTCATCAGAACTTCTCTAATGTCTAAAGAAGTTTGTGATACTGAAAGCTTTAGTAAACAACTTTGAAAAGTTTTAAAAAGAAAACGTTGGAATATTTGCTAGGTAGAAAGCAAGCTGAGGGGTTTTTGGATGGGAAACTCAAAACACTTGGAAGAATTTTTTTAATGAAAACCAAATTAAAAACATTTTTAGTTGACATTTCAATAATAAAGGATATCATGCTTCAGCCATTCTTATTGTACAGATGTTCATAAACAGTGAAATTTTGATCCCATTCAGCTTGATGAGAGCTTACCACTGATGACTTACAGCCAAGACTTCATCCAAAAAACCTCTGTTCACAGATAAAGTAACTGCGGAAAAACCTTCTGCAGTTTTTCTTTTAATTAAGAAAAGATGTATTTTTTAGAAATACAACTGAAGAACTTATGCTAAGATTAATCTTACAAAATAACACATTGTTCTAAGGTGTTGGTGAATTACAGAATTTAGGAGAGTTAGTTATTTTGTGTACAAACGTGTGTCTGTATTGATAGGGAGATAGGGCAACTGGCAGATTCTTAATCATTCATTACTTGTGCACTCAAACCAATTCACAGTTACCTTAATGAGATCCCAGGAGAGATCACAGCTTCCAAATTTGCCAGATGATAGACTCTTAGTCCTAATTCAGGTGCCTCTGTTGGAATTTGCCCTGTCAAAGCTGCCAGCAGCACTCATCTGAATGGCACTGCTGAGTTGCCACAAAGGTGCTAACGACCAAAAGCATCTTTGGCTTCTGCTTCAACCCTGCAGCAATACATTTTGTTGACTGTAGAGTACAAGTAAACATGCTCTGTCATCTGAATTTAAAAGTGATTGGAAGACAAGTTGTGTATCCTGTTTTTTGTTTTTGTTTTTTTTTTCCCCGCTAGTACCTGTTTGTACGGGTTCACTGATGATTTTGTTTTGCAGCTAGAAGCTTTTCAACCTTTCTTCATTTTCCTGAACCTTCCGTACTCCGTCGTTAGAGGAGAGCAGTTCGTTTTGGAAGTGAACATCTTTAATTATTTGAAAGAAGCAGCTGAGGTAAAATAACAGTGTCTTCCTACTTGAGTGTTTCTAGACACTGCAGGTTTTTCATCACCGATTGAGACCACATTTTTCTCTTGTGAGGACTTTAATATTTTCTTCAGTGGTCATACCATGAGGCTATTTCTCTATACACAAAAAGGTGGCATCTTATGAAAACAATTTTTCAAAATTAACACTTTGTATTGCAAATGTTACTGTATTTACAGGTTACTGTGATCCTGGATATGAATGATGCTTTTGAAATTATTCTAACGTCCAATGAAATAAATGCTACAGAAAATCAACAGTCTGTATCTGTACCAAGTGAAGATGGGAAAACTGTTCAATTCCCAATCAAGCCGAAACAGCTGGGAGAGATTCCCATCAAAGTGACAGCAATATCATCTGCTGCTTCTGATGCTGTCATCCAGAAAGTTTTAGTAAAGGTAGATAGTCTGCAGCTTGTCTTGTTCCTGAAATAAATTGTTCCCTAAAATAGACAACAGAGTGCAGCAAAAAGGCAAACCAATTTACTTGTCTGCCTCTTGCTCTGTAAGGTTGGGTTCGGGTCAGGTGGCTTTAAGTAGAAAACACTGATTTTAAAGTAATTTCTCCCTTGAAATTCTTTAGATTGCCTTCCAGGAATGAACACATAGGTCTGTTCTACAACAATAGTGTGTCAAATGCTTCTGAAAGCAAGGTGAAACCTCTTTGTGCCTCAGTGAACCCCTGGTGCTACAGCTAGCTTAATAATCTATGGAGAGTGGGCCAAATAACTGTATTATGGATAAGTGCGATCAATTTTGCCGTACACCTGGCTTCAGTTCAGCTACAGCAGGATGCTCATAACCATGTACAGTCAGGTTTTTAATAACCCCAAGGACAGGGCCTTCACAGCATCTCTGGGCAGCTTGTTTGAGTGTTTGAACACCCTCACAGTTAAAAAAGTATTTTTTTAATATTTAAAAGGAAATCCCTTTATTTCAGTTTGTGTGTGTTGCCACAAATTTGCACCACTGAGAGAGCCTGGCTCTATCTTCTTTACACCCTCCTTTCAGGTATTTTTACACATTGGTGAGATCGCCCTGAGCCTTCTCTCCTCCAGGCTGAACAGGGCCAGCCCTCTCAGCCTCTCCCTAGACTGCTTAAAACCATTATCCTGCAGAGTTATGAGCTGTTTTCAGGTGGAGCCACTTACTGCCCCTTCTGTTGAAGTTCAGTTGTTGCGCAGAAGTGACTAAGAGCCTGTTAGACTAAGGTGTAGTCTGAGGAAAGAAGCCCATTTATTTTCTTTGCTTCAAGGACAGTTTTTCTCAAGGGATTTTGCATGCATGAGGAAAGGAAACCTTTATGGTCATGTACCTAACTTCAGTTTACGTCCTTCTTATATGACAGGCTGTAAGATTGTAGACAGCACGAAAGGTACCACCTCTGACCTGGGCATGTGCTTGGCATGGAGCTCACTGGAATTAAGAGATGCTCTCATTGACTTTGCAGGTGTATTTTTGTAACTGACATGTGAGAAGCGAATAGTGGAAGTAGGTCTCTGTGAGAACATTCTGTGCCAGTTTGGATGGGCCAATAGCTCAGGTTCTTGATGTGTTAGCAAGCAGCACAAAATACCTGACAGTGTTTTAGATCCCTCAGTACAGTAAGCACACACTCCTGTCCTAAAAGGAGCAAACTGTTGGAGATTACAATAATCCTGTCTTTATTTTGATAGGCTGAAGGATTGGAACAGGCATATTCTCAGACAGTCCTTTTGGATTTGACTGGGAATAAACCACAAGCAGTGTCAAAAACTTTGGATTTCACTTTTCCTTCTGATGTTGTAAGTGGCAGTGAGAGAGTGCAGGTCACTGCTGTTGGTAAGGATTATCTTATTTTGTTTCTGTCTTTATTATTTACTGGTCAGCTATATATATATATATATATATATATTATTTTAAATGGTATTTGCCTGCTGGGTTTTTATTGAACTCAGTATCTAAGGTATATGTGTCCATAATCCAGCTGCTGGCATCTTCTGCGCTGCAGGCATAGGTGGTTTTTAAAGAGCAGGAGCAGTTGCCAGTAGTAACTAGCAGTAGTAAACTCTGTCAAGTAGAGCAGGGAGGCTGGTGTGTAATAACCTGAGCTACCCTAGCAGGATTTGCCAGAGCTTCTCTCAGAGCACCTGCTGAAGGATGCTTACAAGATTTTGCCCAGTGTGGCTGTTGCTTCATAGGTTTTTAGGGAACTTTTTTTTTTAGGGAAACTGGAGAATTAATTTTTATTTGATTGCTATATTAGTAGGTAGAATCATTAATTCAAAATAATTTACCATCATGCCTTAGACTAGGCATAGGAAGACCTTGTGGATGGAGTGTGTTACTCCTTTAATTTATTTAATTTACAATATTATGGTATTGACTGTCTATTTTCAGAGTTAGAGAGGGAGTTGGATTTTAATAAGGAAGGTCCTCTAAAGTTTGCTAGTATCCTGTTTTGGTTCTGTTTGTCTGCAGAATAAAACCTACTGATTGTTGCTTCTGTGATGTCTAGGCTTTGATAACTGGGGATGAGAGAAGAAATACAGGAAGTTTCAAATATGTACCGTTACTGAAATGTTTTCCTGGATTAGATATATTTTGTTTCTTTCTTTTTTTTTTTTTCTTTTTTTTTTTTTTTTTAAATGGTGGCTGTTGGAAATTATTCTGTAGTTGAAAAGGTCTGTGGGAAGATGGGTCAGTGGGCACAAAGCTGATTAGAAGATGAAGTATCTTTTCTGCCTGGTTACTGATGTTTAGTAAAATTTTCCAAATGTATCATATTTTCTCCCAGTTTAGGTGATACCACCTTTTATGTGTGAGCTATGCATTTATTTGAAATAACCTTTAATTTATTTTCATTAAATTTTACCTTTCAGGTGATTTACTTGGGCCTTCTATCAATGGTTTGTCGTCATTGATTAAGATGCCTTATGGCTGCGGTGAACAGAATATGATCAATTTTGCTCCAAATGTTTATGTTTTGCAATACCTGACTAAAACCAGGCAGCTGAGAGAGGATATTAAATCCAAAGCTGTATCATTTATGAGAAAAGGTATGTATGCTCAAAAGAAAGATGTTAAATTTTTCAGAACTCTTAACTAGTACAAAGATATGTGTGACCCTGCGTTTGATATTTGAAATATTGCTCTGTTGGTGTCATGAGAATGGAAGAAAAGCCCACGTTCTCTTTCTTTTCCTCCTTTTTTTGGGGCTTGTTTGCTCAGAAAAAACATGTTGTTTTTATATAGTAACTTTTTTTTCAGATGAAAAATGCCTTTTAGAAGGCAATTCATATGGATTTCCTAGGTGGTTGTTATTTCTCCTTTGATAAAACCATGTATGAGCGAACATTTCTGACCTCTGCTTGAGGCACAGAGGTTGAAAATTAGTTAGTGGGTGAGTGAACCATATTCAGCCCATGTGTCTGTCTTCAGTTACACCATCCCCATCCTGCCATGTCCTTGTAGAGCTCAAGGAGTGGCATTTGCTCTGGTGGCTGGCTTTCACCCACCAGACTTTTACACTTGGTCAGACATGAACTCTGTGAGGGAAATCAAAAGCTGGAAAATTTTAGTTGGAAATTGTTGTATATTTTAATCGGGAAATACTCCAGGGCATTGCAGCGTGTGGAGAACATAGTTGTACTCTGCTTCTCTGTGCCTTTTGGATCAGACGGTGTCTAACTGCAATCTACCGTGCTTGCCACATCTCAGTCTGCGTGCTGAGGGCCTGGTTCACAGAGAAGAATGAGACCATCCTCATGTGAGCTACGCCCTTACTAAGGCACCATGATGACATTTTCAAATTTTGTTTACTTTCTGTAAGTCTCTGATTTTATTTTTTTTTTGGCGCTTGATTTTTTTTTGTTAAAGTTGTTGACATTTCCCTTGGAAAAGGCACAGCTCAAGATAAATTTTCCTTTCATCAAGATCCCAATTTTCTGTCAAAAGCAGTTAAATGATTTTTTTTAAACCCTTCCCACTACATTGTTTAGTTGAAAAGTAAGGTGGGGGGGAAGGAGATATGTTGTGTAAACAGCTACTCTGAAATTTGTAAGCAATCTACCACTCTTTCAAGCCTGAGTTTTGCTACCATAATTTTCTGAAGTTTTTCAGTAACAGATTTATTAAAGTTTTTTCAAAGCAAGTGAAAATTATAGGATTAAATATGATTTATAGACAAGGAGTTGTGTTACTTTTTCCCAGGGCTTTGAATTTAGGTACATGTTTTTAACACTGTAATAGCCAAAACAGTAAGTATGCTGAAAGATTTGTAACCCTAAGATAGAAAAGAACCACAATCTTCTGGGTTTTTTTGCTTTATTTTAACAATTGATTTCATTTGTTCACTTGACTTTTTAAAACGTAATCTTAAAGTTGACATCTTTAGTTTGAGATGTAACTTTTATAAGCTCAGTTTTTGAAAGGATTGTCATGAAGTTTAATTTAAACCAGACTTTATTTCACATGTCAGAATTCACTAAGTATTAAAAAAGTGACCTCATAATCTGAAGTAAATATAATTAATTTTAAGGCTAAGTGCTTGTGAGAAGAAGGGGTCATACAGCTAGCAGAGACCACTATATGATTTTTTTAGCAGGTTTTTTTTTTACCTAGAACAAAGGCAAAGCAAAAGAAAAGTTTCCTTTTAAAAGAATTCCATCAGTTGTGGGAATGACAGATCCCATCTTGAAATCACTTCTTCAGAAATAAAAAAAAATTCCTCGTTCGTCTGAAAACTTTGGTGCTAGACCTGAAGCGAGCAACAAGTTTGATCAGTGTTTCCAAGCTGTTTGAAATGTGAGACCCTTTGGTCTTTCAAGTGTTTCTGAAGTCCTTTCCATCCTGATGCAGTACTTCTTCGGCCTTGCTCAGCGAGCCTCCTACATCTCTTGGCTTCCAGCCGGTCCTGTGGGAGTACTAGTGTACATCTTCATAATAGGATCCTTCTTTCTCTTGCCTTTCCACTTCTATGTGTTGACATTTGAAGTATCGTTTTTCATGTCTGATTGAGTGTCCATTGGAACGAACACGGTGGTTCACAGCCCCTAGGTCTCCTGTTCCAGCATTTCTACAGGCTTCTCCATGTTAGATATGCTCATGTTTGGAGACTTTTGCGTGACTGCAATGGGGTTGGCATTGAGAAGAAAGTGAGCAGACTGTAGGAAATAGCTGAGTGATCACTCCTTCCTCCCTCCAGTTCTGCTCATCTTTCTGATCCCTCCCAATCTTAAGAAATTCTGAGATAAATTTATCCCCTTGTAAGGGCTGCTCAGCAGTCTTTGTTAAGCAGGCTGTTGGTCTTAGTTTAGTGCTTTTACACTACTAGTGGGGTGGTGATTAAAATACTTATTGCTGTATGTTGCCTGTTCTGAAAAAAAGCAAAGACCTCAGTTTTCAGGCCTTGCAGTCAGATACTTTTGAAGAGGAAGCAGTCTATTTGTATGTATACATGTGTTAGTGTTCCTCATAGCACGTTATTTTGAGGTTTAAACTTGACAGTGACTTTTGCTTTCCTTGGTGAGAAGTGCCACTCATTCCTTCTTTTTTTTTTTTCTCCCAGTCAAGAGTGCTTGACTCTTCAAGATTATTAACTGAAATGGAAGGTTTGTCTGTGTGGGAAAGATTGACCAGTTTTAATCGTGTAATTAAGCCCTGTCATTGTGCTAAATACATTATCAAACCCCTATATTTAAGTGAAAATTGTAATTTCAAACTCTTCTAAAGAGACAAAAACTAAACCTGTTGCTACTGGGATAAGAGTTTATTTGGGAAGGTGCACTGGTGTGCTTTAGCAGTACAGATTCGCATCTTTATGTCTAAATCTCTTCTGCTATAGAGAGACTCTTACTCGGATTTAATCACACACTGTAACGTGGATTGAGGGACCAGGCCATTTGTGCCTCAGTAATAAGGCTGTGGTTTACTCACTATGTGTCTGTATTCAGGATAGTATATAAGCAGCTGATTAATCCTTTATCAGTGAAAGCAAGAAACATTTTTCAGGGGAACAGTTGTAGTTGGATGGACCTCACAGGAGGTATTTATAGATTAATTAATTTGTGTAGAACTTAATGATGGTTGCTGAGGGTTTTCCTTATGCCTGGCTGATTCAGTATTGTGTCTGTATCTGTCAGGTGTTAGAATAATGAAAATGCTTTCTTAATTGCAATAACCAAAATAGTAAAGCCAAGGAAAAAAACCAAGGTGGGGGGAAAGAAGATGTCTTGTGAAGTGCTGTAAATAGATATGATTATTGTTCTGGATGCACAAATGGTGAGCAAAATGCAAGAGAAGGAAGGCTTTAGATATCGGAAACTACAGTGAGTACATATCATAGGAAGCTCTTAATTTCTAACATTAACAAACATTGGTTCTGCACTGAAGTCAGCTATTGAGTAAGGATGCTGTTGGTGGTCATGAGCAGCTAGTGAGCCCTTGGGGCCCTTTTATTATAGATGTTTAGCAGACAGGAGAAAGCTGCACTTGTTCTGGATACTGGAAAATCTTTAGATACATTTTAATGGATCTTTCTCAGGTTTTCAGGATCTTGAGGTCTTTTGAAATTTTTCACTCATTTCAGAACAGCCTTTTCCAACACGCTTTTTCTGATGGCTAGTCCTTTGATTTGTCAAAAGCAAACTGCTGAAAGGGTCTGTTTTTCAGCAGCATTTGTAGCTTTGCTGTATCCTTGCCCTTCCAGTTGGAAAATACATCGTTTTTCCTTGTCCTTCCTTCCGCTGGAAAGATAGAGCTTTTCTGTAGGTGCACAACTCCACCTCCCCAAAGCAATGAAGCACTGAACTATAGCTGCTACTCTGCTCTGCGCTTGCTGCTGTGCTTCTGGAGCCACCGAGTTTTGTGGGATCATGTCTTTCTGCACCATGCTGTGGTGTTTGGGTGGCAGATGAGCAGGAGCTTCTGATTCTGCTTTTGTAAACGGATCTTTTGTGTTACGGCTGCCTGCTTTCTCATCATCTTCTGTGCGGTTTTGTGTGTTCCTACTTATCTGGGAGATCTCTTTATGAAATACAAGCTCAAGTTCTGCCCTTCTAAGCCTTAGAAAGTGCCTCACTTCACATCAGCAGACAGTTTGTCCTGGAACATGAGAGGAAAGTGTACAATACCTGTCTCTGCTTTTCCACTTCAGGCTACCAGAGAGAGCTGCTTTTCCAGAGGGATGATGGCTCTTTTAGTGCCTTTGGAAATGAAGATCCCTCTGGGAGCACGTGGTAAGTGGTTCTGCCAGATTCACTGTAGAATTTGAATATTTTAGATATTTTCCCTGCAACTAAAAATTTTGTGAAGCTGGTAAAAATTTCCAGCTGTATTAGCCTTCTGCCTGGTTTTCATTAGGTGTTTAGGCCAACTCTAAAGTCGTTTTGCTGGATAACTTGCTGCCAAAGCCATTATTAGAGCAAGGTTTTTAATTTTGCAAAAGATGAATGATGAATTATTTTAGCCAGGGGAATAGCTTGGTCTGAGAGTTTTTCTGTGGCTTTCCTCAAAGGAATGAAGAATAATAATTAAATTAATTACTCTTTCAGTTGACTGAAAACATTTAGGGCTATGTGTTCATCATCATTGCTTCAGGCAGATTTTTCAGTTCTCTCCATGCTGGAGGCTGAAGATCGACTAAGGCATTTCCTAGCAGGTGAACTGAGTTACTGGTGGTGAAAATTTGTCCTACTTAACTCTCTTACACCTCCTTATTTGAGACTGTAAATACAACTGAAAAAGCCTTTTCAGTGCTGAATTTTACCCTGAGAAGCATAGTGAGCATAGTAGTGGAAGCTAGGTAGATAACAGAGACAAGTTCTAGCACTTGGTTCAGCTAACCCATGTTTGGTTAGTTTAAATATACTCATCTATTTCAGTACACACTGTTGAATTTAAATAGAACCATCCTAGTTTCTGTGCCGCTGATGGAGTCACTCCTGGAGTCAGTGAGCATCTTTCAATGACATCAGCATGATTTGCCTTAGATGCAGTATTGATGGATTGGAAAATGAAGATAATTTATCTGTACTGGCCACTCTGGTACTTAAATAGTGCAGTGACAAGTTACATAAATGCACGTTTGGCAATGAAGGGAGTAAAAGCAGAACTTGGGATTATTAATAATAAAACAACAAAGGTCCTTTCAATTATATCATTGCAGGGATAATCGTGATAATTAATCACATCACACTTGTAACTGCATTACTTTGTAAACTGTGATTTTTGCCACTTTAGCCTAGCAGCAGAAGGCAGGAGAGCAACATTTGAATAAAGATATACATGTGCTGGCAGACTTGGAGTCTACATTAATTTTTGGTGGATTAAGCTTAGTCTACTTGCTTGTCTGGGTGAGGCGTGTATTTTCCTCTGTGCTTGGGAGGTGTGTGTAGGACACCTTATGCATCACAGTATTCTTACATCATCTTAAACAGAAGAAGTTGTAATATGTTGTGAATTTGATTAACTTTTTCCTCAAGGTTATCAGCTTTTGTATTAAGATGTTTCCTTCAAGCTCGTCCGTTCATAGATATAGACCAAGATGTACTCATGGATACAGCCAAATGGATTGTTCGGCACCAGAAGTTAAATGGAGAATTTAATGAGCCTGGGAAAGTGTTACACAGTGATCTTCAAGGAGGCACCAATAATCCAGTTACTCTCACAGCCTACATCATGTCATCCCTCCTAGGGTTCCCAGATAAACAGGTACTGAAATTCATAAATAGAATTCATAGTTTCTGGAAAACTTCAAAAGTTCTCGTAGTACCTGGCAAACACTTGGTAGTTTAAGGAAATGGAGAGATGTCTGAACAGACAAAATTAACTTGATTTTGTTAAATTTCTTGTATCTACTCAAGACAATATATAGTTATGCTGTTAAGCCCTTCAATTTTATGTGCCTTTGCAAAATCTAAAGGCAGTTGCTTTTGGCAGGAATATTGTTTGTCATGGCTTTAGTCCAAGAACTATGAGGGGGAACTATCCTTACAGATGCTAACTCATTCCAGTTGATTTCATTGAGATGACTCACAATCATAAAAGACAGTGCCAGATCAAAAGGCTTACCTTTGGGGTTCGTACCTGTGACTCTGAAAGAGATTTGCAGTATTTCTTGGTTGTTGTTTGGTGATAGTAATGTTTCTGTACAAATTTTTCTTTTAAATTATAATATTTCAGTATATATATTATTCTTCAATATGATCTTCATTTCCAGCATGCTTATGTCATCAAGAGTGCTACAAACTTTCTAGAAGATAAATTAGAAGAAGGCATTTCGGATAATTACACTTTGGCACTTGTGACATATGCATTGTCCTGGGCAAAAAGTGCAAAAGCAAAGGAAGCACTGAATATACTGAACCACAGAGCAGAACACCAAGGTATTGCACAACTACCTTATACAGTTGTATAGATAGATTTGTCACATTTAAAAATACCTGTCATATCTACAGTTGCGTATAGAATTAGAGATCAAGAGAATCCTTCTGAATTCAAATCTGTTTTGAGCATGATATAGAAAATAAGCTCACAACTTCCAAGACAGCCTTAATGAAAAGTGTCCATAAATGAATGACAATTCACAACAAAGTTAGGCCTTTCAGTCTCAGTTACCGTGTTCCTGATGGGAGTACCATGATACTGTTGAAGAACGTTACTTGTCAGTTTTCCCGTGTTATTATGTGTACTTGTAAAATCAGCCTGGTTAAAGAGAGGTGGATAAGGTTAGCTGTTCCAGAGTGGTTTGGATAGATCAGGAGTATGACCGTAGGCAATTACTTAAAATGAATATCAAAATGAAGGGTCGAAGGACTGGACTTTCTGTAAGACAATACAGAGATCTGCTGCGTTTTCTGTAGGGACCTATCATCTCACTGTGTTTCACCTCTTCCAAGTTCAGCACGACTGAATTTGTTCCCTGTTTTGGGAGAAGAACAGACCATATGAAGTATAAGAAATGGAAGTTTTTGGCTCAAAATAGTAACTGTCCTCTTGAAAAATCCAAAGGAATTCATGTTGTAGCCTAGAAATGGAGCATCTTGTTGTCCCTCTCTGTTTACTTAGTTAGGCCTTTCAGATAGTCACTTTTGGGAAGGGAGGAAGTAACTTTTTTGGTAGGCTTCACTCAAGAATGAGCCTAGTGAGCAGCTGTGCTGCCCGAAGTGCCTTCTCTAGTTCTGAAGAGAAAGGAGCACCCCAGCAACGAGGTGGCCTTTTCACAAGGGCTTCTTTATGTGAGCACTTTGGGCTGACAACAAAAGGATCAACGGAAAGTTCACTGAAGTCAGTGGGAGCGACTATTTGGACTCCAGGGGTTTTTGTACCTAGATTCAGCCACTGCTGAGGAAGTGTGTGAGTCAGTCCTTTATGGGACACGCCTAAACATTAACCCGATTTTAAAGAACCTCGTTAGATTCCATATGTTAGCATTAATTAAGAGATTTCCTTTCAGTCTGTCCCAGAACTCCAAAGACTTCAGTCGGTGGATCTGAGGTTATTATTGATTCCTTTTGCAGGAGAATTTCGTTTCTGGGTAACGCCTGCTTCTGAAATGTCTGATTCTTGGCAGCCACGGTCCATCGATATTGAACTTGCAGCGTATGCTCTGCTCTCGCACTTTCATCAAGACAGATTAGCAGAGGGGATCCCTATTATGAAATGGTTAAGTCAACAAAGAAATCACCTTGGGGGATTTTCATCTACTCAGGTAATATCTTGTCTCAAGGGACTTTGTTATACTTTCTAAATGAGCTTTGTCTATTAAAAAAAAAAAAAAAGAAAAAAGAGACCATTTCTTTTTTTTACATAAAAACTACTGAATTTTGTTTTGCTCTAACACCCTTGGTTACATGCAGGCTTGCAGTCTTTATGATGTTGGCATCTTAAACCTGGACTACCAGTTTTAGTATTTTGGCAAGTATAATAAAAAACAGGATTAGAGGGTGACTTTGATTATATAAAATATATTAATAACAAAAGATCTTAACTTAAGAAGTGATGCCCAAGGAAAACCAAGCAAGTATGATAAATATCTGTGCTTACTTTCTTTCCAAGGAAAGAAATCTCTTTCTGTTCTTTCCATATGTGGGTCCTCAAACTCCTGAAAGGCTATTAACTAAGATAAGAAAGGGGAGTAGGTTTTAGAGAAATAGCCTAACCTAGTGCCTCTGTTGGCAGTTGGTCCTAACTTAATGTACTTTGTCCTCATTATTGCACAGATTTTTGATGGGCCATGAAATTTGGAAGATCTTCGTTATCTCCAGGAGGTTTCCGTGTTACTGAAACCGCATCTTGTAAGCTGTGCTGGCATCCAGAAAATTTATATAGTACTTTGGATTGCATTGGTTTAAACTAGCTTTAAATTAACTACAAATGCTAGTCACAGTAAAATGTCACATTTCATCATACTGCTTGGTACCAAGCTGCACAGGCTGTCCTTGATTATTTTCAAATGTTTGTTGGTATTACTCTGAGAGAAATTAGTTCTACTAAATAAAATGCAATTTAAGAACCAGCCTGGTTCCCCTGAGGTTCTAGTATTTTCCTAATGTGTTAATTCTTGCTTATTATTTGAAGAGGCTGATTGAAGCCCTAAACGAGTTGAAAAAGCTGTTCTCTATTCTCCAGAAACTGTTTTTACTTGAAAGTTTGAAAATCCAGCAGTGTACCATTTACCCCTGAGAGTGAAGTTAAGAAATTAATTTAACCCTTTTTTTCTTTCATAGACTAAACTATTTTGATTTCAGCATTACTACAATGTCTCTCTAGATGCCGTTTTAATTTGTGGAAATGACCCCATACTTCTTGTTAACTTCTAAGATTGCTTTGAAAAAAAATGTTTATAGAGTGTTTCCTTCCATGAGTTTATTACATTAGAAGCTTAATATTTTGTTAAACAATAAGGAGGAAAGTAATCGGTTGTGTGTGTGATGTTTTGTAAGTTTGGGTATGATAACACACTGCGAATTGTATGCATGGTATAGCTTACTATGAATTTGCAATCAGTATATTTTGCTTTATAATGCTTTTAATATTTAGGCATAAAATCTACATATTTCATATATAAAAGAATACAATTTGTGCACAAATTAGCATATATATGAATATAAAATTAAATGGTAGGGGAGTAGCAAATTCTGCAAAGCCTGTGGTGCTGGGCAAGAGGGGCCTATGCATCTGGCTTGAGATCATATTCCCTGACTTTTCAGGTTCTGTTTTAGATGCAGCATTGTCATACTGAGCCATGGGGCTTGTGCTTCAGCTGTGTATGTCTCCTGGTGAAAAGCATTGGGTATGCCTTTTGCTTTAGACCATGCCAAGGGGAACATTTATCTTCTCTGTAGGTGTTTCTCTGCCCTCTTTTTCACCTGTGTTTCTGAGAGTCATTTGAGCCTGGGATGTGGAAGAGCTCTGAAGTCACCTTCAGCAATGGCAGGTGACACTTCTAGACATCTTGAACTCTCTCTGAAATTAGGGAGAGAGATGTAAATGTGAGAAATGTAACTGTAAGGACTTGGAAAAGGCAATTCAAGGTATTCCTTGGTTTCCACAACTTAGGTAAAGGCAGGCATATTTTTGCTTTCAGATGATTAAAATCAGATTCTCCAACAAGATCTTATAGCTCCTTAGGTCTGTAAGATAGATCAGATACATAGATGTGATAAGTTGCTGTAGTTTCATTCACTTCAATGTGAAAGAAGTTTTGTAAGTTTGGACTTCCAAGCTATAGATCTTCCTCAGAAACTGACATTTGAGTAGTCTGAGTAGGAGCAGAGTCATTCAGATGCTTTGTTACTGCCTTCTGCAAAGGTGTAATTGAAGACATTCTTTCAGGGTAAATATTGGCCTCCTACTGAAAAAGTCTGCCACTTACTCCAGACTATTAAATCTTCCTGTAGCCCTTTAGTTGCATCCATTCTGTCACACCGTGTTAAGCACTGGAGTTGGGATCCCAGACATAGTGGTTCAGCGTACCAGCAGCTTTGGCATTGTTGGTAATCAGCTGATCTTTCTGGATTTTAAGAAATCGCTGAAGCATGTTCTCTCAGACAAGGATGTGGCAAGGGAAGGAGAGTGATTTTTAATCATTTAGAGTGAATAGGCAGCATGTGCTGGTACTTTAAGGTATGGCACAGTCACCATGTCCTAGTTAATGAGCTTGTGTTACATTAGAATTTTGTTACTAGAAGTGACCTAGAAATTAATAAACCACCTCTGTAGGCCAAGCCTCCTGTCTCTTCCTTTACTGTCACTGGTTAAAAATAGGTGCAAAATGAACTACACAAACAGCAAAAAATCCCTGAGAATTAGAGACATACAATTGATTACTGTATTTTTTTCCAGAAAATAGTGGATGTTAAAATTCTCATTTGCTAAACTGTGCTGGACCAAATGTTCAAAAACTTCCTCTTGTGTTCAAACCTTGGAGAGCTAAGCCTGCAATCATACACAAAGATAAACAAAAGAGAATTTTAGATATACATGTATATATGATAATGTGTTTATAAGCATATTCTGCAGTGGTTAAACAGTTGCACAAAATCTTTTGATGAAATACAGAGTATAGAAACTGGGCTGAACCCATTTGAAATCGTTGTCAGGGGTCCAATAAAAACTCATTTCACTTCTTTTTTTTTTTTTAATAAATATTAATAGTTTTTCAGACCTATAGGTTTTGCTTCAGTGATCAAGGTACCCTGAATAACTCCTATGCAGTACTGCATATTTAAAGCATAGTCACTAAATAAATGTAGAAAGTAGCAGTTATCATTACTTTCCTCATTGACTTTCCCTTCACTGTCTGCGTGGCGTGTGATTCTGACTGTTGTGTCTACCAGCGTGTCAGGCCTTCATTGTACCTTGCACAAGAGGAAAACTTCCTTAGCTGGCTCCCATCTCATTCTCCGTTGTGTGTCATAGTAGCTAACTTCTATGCTTGGATCCTTTATGCCAGTGAAATCCCAATGGAGATGGGAGGTGGCTGCATGAAGACTCCAGCATAATCAACAAATGGGACAGTGCAGGGACCGTGAACTCCCTAAGGCATGGCCTGTACACAGGTAGTTCCCTGTACAGGCTTCTGTTCAGTACAGAAGGATTTGTTTCTCTCAACAGGACACTGTGGTGGCTCTGCAAGCCTTGAGTCTATTCGCAACTCTCACTACTGCGGGCAAAACAGAAATGGATGTAACAGTGACAGCACCTTCTTTGAAAATGCCAGAAACATTTTCAATTGATACGCGAAACCGTTTTCTGCTTCAGACCAAGGAGGTACTGTAGAAAGTGAGGAATACTTTTGAAAAGCCTGCTGACTGAAAGTACTATGAAAATACTGTTTCACTCGTCTTTCTTTCAGATTGCCCCTGCACAACCAATGACAATGACAGTGGCAGCAGAGGGAACAGGATTTGGTGTCTTTCAGGTACACAATGCAGTTACTCTTGCTAAAGAGATGCTCTCTGTAAGGAAGGTATATTTTGGAAGCTTTATAAAACATGTTAATAAGAACAATCTTCTGAAATGTCTTAAGTCAGTCCCAAAGCACTTCACTAGCTGAAGAATGTTGTGAACCGAATACTGTGTGAAAAGACGTATTCATGTGATCGTTTATTTCCAATGGCCTGGTCTTTTAAGTACTGCTGGATGACTGACAGTTTGGGGGCACTTCCTTGCGCCAGAACCATATCAAAGCAGTCCTGCCCTCCTGCAGAAATGCAGTGTTCATTTGCAAGACAAAGATCTGCAGTGGTATGTTGGCAGGCACAAAGCTCAGCGTAAAAAAGGCATGTGGACCAGGCAGAAATGCCTCAATGGGAACCTGTGGTAAACCATGGTAAGGCACAGATCAGTACAGAACAAGATTACACTGCTAGTTATTAGAGTTATTTTCCTTTTATTGAAGAATAGTACAACAATAGTGCAAAAGCTAAAAATAAGAGAGTATCACAACCAGGTTCTCCAGCAATTTTTACACTGTTCTGAAATAGCATGAAAGATAGAGTCAAAGCATCCTGCAACTGCCAACAGTAATAGATGCTTAGCATCAGCCAAAAGTGGGGGCATGGTAAGAGTGGAAGGAGGTATAGTGATCCCCTCTCTGCCTGGTCTGTGGAACACACTACCTGTATTTCGGTAGTAAAAATTCAGACATCTTTACTGTTTTTTAAACAAATTAAGCTGGGATCAGCACATACTGTGTTTAGAACTAGCAAACTCTATACAGCCTTTTCTGTTGCTTGCTTTTCCCCCATAACAGAGATTATGCTCTTAAGAAATTCCACCTCCAGGATTTTCCCTAACCCTATGAGAAATATTATGTGAAAATAAGATAGTATTGGATCTGATTTGATATGGCCACTAATTGGTCTCTTCCCTGCTGTCCTGTCCATCATAGTGGTTTAGAACTACACAGGTGAAAGAGAAGACCTTTGAAAAGCTATGTATAAAACAGAAATCAGTCTCTGAGCATGAGAGATTAATTTTATTGTAAATATATAAATAAACTCAAAATTGCTGAGTGTATTGCAAAACCAGACAGATTTCCTACTAGACTCCTTCTAGTTGTAGTTGGGAAAATTGAACTTAGGCTGCCTTTAATTGTCTTGAATTCTTATGCCAGGTCAGATTCCATCTCAAATTCCTTCTAACCTGACCTTCACTTCAGTGTTTTTATGCATCTGGGAAACAAAAAAGCGTGGTGATGGTTGGTAAATATGCTTTTGGATAAAAGTCCTTTACAAAGAAACCTTCACACCTGCCTATCAGCAGCAAACAGGAGCTAAAGATACACCTCATTCATTCAGCACCAGTCTGCAAAACCCACAGTGCCGTGTTTATTAATTCCCAGAAGTGCAAATGAAGTTTACAGCAAAGTTCAAAAGTTTCGGAGGATAATTTAGATTCAGACCTGCACGCCAAGATAGGAGTGAACATCTCAGCAGGGCTGCGTTCACACATCTGTGGTTTCAGTGTGTGTGTGTATGTGGAATGTTACGAAGTGGGACTCCAGAACAGTTAAAGGCTACTTAACCTTAATCATTGTTGAGAAATACTCCCTGATATTAAGTCAACTAATTTGTCAGGCAAGCTGATCAAAAACTTGTCAGCAGATTGTTTCTTGCTGGAAGATGCATATTTGTTGAAATGAATGCCTTTTGTGGAAGCACATTGGTTCCAATTATGTTTTTGCCAGCAGGAGAATTTCACATCCAAACCAGCATGTCTGGTGAAGACTGAGCAGTAGTCTTCCACTCCGAATAGCCAGCAGTTGACTCCATGGTTAGAGAGCTTCTTGGGGGTGTATAGCACCACGATTTAAGTTCCTGGTTTGTTGTATGAACATGCAAATGTGCTCCCAAATAACTGGTGTTCAGAAGCCAACGACAGTTTATGTTCTTCATTTAGGTCACTGTGCTGTTGCTTTTTTCCTGCAGTTTTGAGTCAGAGATGCTGCAATGGGTCAAAATACTGTACTTAACACACTGGAGTAGCTCTCCAAAACCTTTTCTTTGCTGGGATCAATTCTTTCCTTCTGCTTCCTTTGGCAAGTCTGGTATTCTAAGACAAAGAGCGCTGATGCCATTTGAATGAGATTTCTCTTTTTCCCAGGCACAAGCTAGATCTGGGTCATATGTCGTAAATCAGATAGCATATGACATTTTGATCACATTTCTTCAGCTGGGTTTCATTGTCTTAGTCCTGTCAAAGTACAGTGGTGAGATTCACTGTTCTGGGATTTGACTTGCTGGCCAAATGCAGCATGTCAAAACAGTAATTCATTTAAATATCACAAAACACAAGATTCAGTCCATTAATGGAAAAGGCTGCTTTCCTAACAGAATGGATTATTAGACACAAAAAACCTCTTTTTTTTTTTGTTTTTTGAAATCTCACTGGCAGTGTGTGCAAGTTGGCAGTGCATTCACTTTGGACCCTGCAGGGTCTCATGAAGTGTATTTATTTTGGATGGTATAATTGCAAAACCAGACATTTACTTGTAGCTTTGTGGTCCTGCTGTCAACAGTCTCCTAGATCATCCGTTCATTATGTGGGCACATACGATGGACGACCTAAGACACTAACTCTGCAAGAGGAAGGAGAGGAGGATTGTAGGGTTAGATATATGAAAGGCACTCTCTGGAGAAAGGAGTCAAAGAAGTGATATTCCCTAGGTGGCCTGCTGAAAGTCTTGGAAGAAACACCTCTCTGCTGTCTGGAACCACTGAGAGCTGGGCTTGGCAGGTGCCTCAAAAATTTGGCATGGCCCGTGCCTTTTGGAAGGAAGGCGAATGCCACTGAAATCCAGGACTAACAATGAGGGGAGTGTGGGCAGGGTCAAGGAGGATGGGTATGGGCAAAGTGAATAGGTGAACAAGATCTCCTGGTCATGTATACAGAGGGAGTGAGTTAGAAATCAGAATCACCTGTTACTTGTTGCTGAAAAGCACTGACTGTTTTTTCCACTTCATGTATTTTTACTAGACTTAGGCAAGGGAGTGAATGTTATTCAGTGTGATGGTACTGAAAAGGGTACTGTGAAATGCACACACATTTCTCCATTAGTTTGAGTGGATGCTAAGTAGTCAGAAAGGGACAGGAAAAGATTGGAGATGATCATTGAATTCATGCCCTCGATCAAGCACATTTGTGCTGCTAGTTGAAGAACAAAAAGGATATGGAAAGAGGCATTGATTAGGGCTTTATAAATGAGTCATGTTTTTTGAAATGTAGTGCAGTTAGTTGGGTCACATATGTTACAAGTATCTCTCTCATGCAGAAGGTTAGATTTTAGTTTTTTCTTCTTGGGCCTGTCACCAGAACTGGGTGCAGTGTGACAAGACTGGACCAGTTCTGCCTTTAGCTTTGGCAGCTGCTTCTTAAAAGGATTAAGAAGAAATACAGTTGCTCGTTTTATTGATTTACTGCTAGTTTCTGTATAATAGCCTGCCGTCCCCAAAGTAAGAGCGTATAAAGAAGGAGGCTATAATTAAGCTCTGTGTTGTAAAAAAGATTTTTCCTTCATTGTCATGAGAAATCAGGAAAGGAAAGTCAGACTGTAACAGCGGTAACCTATTCCATGAAAATACTAGCTGGTTGACCTGTTCAGTATGTGGTTTCAGACATCCTGCATTGGCAGTAAATTCCCATTCATTAGCTTTTTCTGGCAAAACTTAAAACAGCTTTGTTTCTGTGATGACAGATCATCGAGGCACTGCCAGCTTGTCTTTACCAAACTTTCTGCATGCCTTTAACTGGCGGTCTTTCTAGATTGGCTTCATCCGTGGTACTGCCTTCTCCTGTGGAGCAGTTTTACACGATGAATCTTCACTGTTGCCTGTACAGAATTGTCTCTGTACTCATACAGCATGCTAAATCCAGCAATGCAGGTCAGGGCAACAGGAATCGTGTGTTTAGATTGAAAGAAAAAGACTCACGTCAAGGAGTGAGAGACATAGCAGCAAAAGCAAAAATCAGAAATTGAAGACTCCTCTGTTTGCACAGACTTGCTAGCCTATAACTGACTTGTTAACCAAGAACTTGGATAACCCACTGTCATACCTTTAAAATTGGCCTGAAAGTTTTCCATTTGCTGCCAGAAACTGTTGTAAAGGGACTATGATTTTCCAGCAGCGCTCCTCATTCCCTTTTCCTTAGCCAAGCAAAGTGCATGTTGGGGTATTGCAAGGGAGTTATTTGAGCCACTTTCTCATCATTTTCCTACCAAAATCGAAAAAGGTGATCCCCCCTGCCTCTGCCCTACCATGCATTTATTTTGATGGCTAAAGGATCAGATTACCCAGAGTGGCCCTGCCCATGGTAGGGGAATTGGAACTAGGTGATCTTTAAGGTCCCTTCAAACCCAAACCATTCAATGGCTCTATGATTATTAGTTTGTACGTGGAAACTGTTTGCAAACTTACTGTTCTGTTGTTGGTGAAAATTACTATTTTGCCAAATAATGTCAACTATTCTTTGATAGTAAATATTGCCTTAGTTTCTTGATTTTTGATTTTGTTGTTCTAAGGTTTTGAAAGTTGAGCTTTCTAGTTCATCACACTGAAGTGCTGAGTCAGCCACCCATTCTCTTGTCCTCTGTCAGAGCTGGTGTCCCATTTGTGCCACAGCAAAGGGATGCTGCAGTTACCATCAACATTGCATCAGGTGTTAATCAGTCTGAAGCACCTTAGAATGTTTTCTCAAAGTTAAATTTAATTTTTGATGTCTTTTATTGGGTGTAAGTACACAAGAATGCTAAAGCAGATGTGCTGGGACAGCTCATATTGTTCATTATCTTGTAACTGATAGTGGTCAGTAGAGAGAGGATGACCAATGGAGCCTACTAGAACAGGGCAAGCATGAAGTGATATCTCACTGGAATACCCTCTTGCCCTTCACCCTGCAGCACAGGGTCTTCCCAAGCCACAGGTCATCTCTGTGTGCTCTCTCTGGCTTGGTAGATATTGTCTTGATAGAGGTTTTTTTCCTTCCATAAATATGTAACTTTAAAAATATTTCTAAACTTTTAACAGCCACAGTTTCTTGTGGCAAGTAGTTCTGCAGCTAGTGGGGTATTGCATGAAGAAGCACTACCTTTTTCTCCTCTTGAATCTGCTCCCCTAGTTCTTCTATTTCGAGAGAAGGCCTAAGAGGTACTGTGTTGGGTCAGACCAATGTTCTGCTTTCCACAACAGCCAGAGGTGGATGCTCAGGAGAGAGTATAAGATAAATACATGTAATATATTACCTGACTGTCTTCCACCTCTTACCATGTATTATTCAAAACCTTCAGCTGGAGATAGTTTCTATGGGCTTAGAAAATTTTGGTTTCCGTGAAGTTGTCTAGTTTGCCCTTGAATGCTTGTACAGTTTTGTGTCTGCAGCATCTTGTGGGAAGGAGTTCCACACTTGCACTGTGTTAAAAACTGTTTCTTATTCATCTTTCCCATGCAAGTCGTCATAATGCAGACCTTTACTGTGTCCTTTTTCCAACTTATCTGTTTATGGCTGAATTTTCATCTATTTTACCATTTCTTAAATGTTAAACAGAGCTAGTAGTAATCAGTTCAAAACCCATTATTATGTACATCAAATTTCTGTTATTCTGCAACTCTTTGCAGTAATCCTAGTTTTTGCTACCTCAAATAAAATAGAACAATCACAAACTTTATCACATCTGGATTCACCCTGTTTTCTGCATCATGTACGGGTATGTTTAATGGTGGTGACACAGCACAGATTGCTTTAGGATTCCACTTCTTTCATGTATGAACATTCATTCCCACCCTCTGTTCTGCTCTTTTAACAGTCCTTTATCTCTTGGCAGCTTCTTTTTTTCTGATACTTTGGCTAGTACTCTTCCTAACCAGCTACAGGCTAATGTAACATCCAGGTAGGTTATACTAGACAGAGCTCCATTGTCCATATTTTTTCATTTGATTCGGGTAGCTCATAGGTTTATAGCAACAGCCTGTTCTCCAACATGTCATATTTAATAATTTGTCCACTAATTTGACTCTTTATTATAGTTTTGACCCTGTTTTCTGGTACAGATACTGAGTTTACTTGACATCCACAGTTTTCTAGTCCCCCAGTACTCTTTTAAAATTTGATAATGATAATATGAGAGTACTGATTGATTGCTCAATGCCAGCTTCAACATTTCTGCTTTGACTGTTGGCATTGGTAATTTTAAAGGATACTGGGATAATCAGGCTCTCTTCTAATTATTCAGACCTCTTTTAAGGGCTTCTGGTTTTACCTTTCTTCTACCACTGTTTCAAGCATCTTATACATGTCTACGCTAGAAGAATTGGAAGCTCTTCAAACTGTGCCTACCAGATGAGCTCATTTTATATTAATGTTACTGTCCTGTACTGGACATCCTGTCATACTTCCTTACTTGGCTTGCTTAGCAGAGCTTGGCAGTTGTTGAGCAGAAGGAGCAAGAGCTCTGTACTTGAGGCAGACTGAAGAGTGTAGCTTTGTCTTTGCACAGATGAACCAGATAATGAAACTACTTACTTAACGGCAAGAAAACAGTGTTGTTCTGAGCTTGGAGTAACTTGCTGTTCCTCATCTGTTTTGAGTGTATGAATGCTCTGACATGAAGACTGAAGACAAATTCTCTACAAACACTATGTGTTTGCTCTTGCTCTGCTTTCATATACAGCCTGTCTCTTTTAACCCAGTGAGCATCGGTCTCTAAAGTTTGTCTTTGTTCATCCCGTTTCACACTGTCAGGAAGTAGCTGCAGATGTTATACACCAGCGGACGACAACTAGGCAGAAAATTGCTGGTTGTCCTAGAGCTCCCTTGTGTTTGCCTCAGTTGTGTCCTGCTAATTGCATTGGTTCTGCTGCATTACAAATTGTTCAGAAGGGATATTTCTTTCAGAGAATTCCTATGTGTGCAACTGTCAGATTCAAGGCCATGTGTCCTGTCTCATGTGAGCACTCCTCTGGTGTTAAACTGTTAGTGTTTTAACCACACAGATTTGCTTGACATATGCCATCTAACGTCTTTACTTGCAATCCACAGCTCAATGTTATTTACAACACAAAGCACACTGATCAGAGGCTCAGATCTGTCCGAACACCAGAAGCCTTTGACTTGAATGTTGATGTAAAGGATGACAAAGACGATAAAAACCATTTGACTTTGAATGTGTGCACAAGGTAGGTAATTCAGTTGAAGCATCTCATACACCTCTTTGTCCATACAGCTTTTAAATTATATAAAATGAGCTAAATTATCCATTTCTTTGTATGGATTTACTAATGTATGGGATATAAACATATAATTAAAGTGAATTAAAGAGAAAAAATTGCTTTGTAAAAACAGCAGTAGTTAAACTAAAAAGTGGTTTATAAGTCAATAAATAGTGATGGATCTTTTGTGCAAAATTGTTGCTGGCCAGGTGATTTTTTTTTTTTTTTTTACTGGTATGCATAAAGATGGTGGTACCCTAAATCTAAGAGGTATATGGAAGAGTTTGTATGAAATATAAGAAAAAACTCAAAGGCTTCTTTGTTGCAAGTACTTCTTAGCTATATGGAGAACTGTAGACAGACTTGAAAATTGACCCAATGTCTTCCATGTTCTAACTTCTAGTAACAAACTGTGACAAGTGCCCATTTCTCTTACCTTTCATGACAGAATGCTTTGCTTTTGATCTAGAAGTAGGTAATTCTTTTTTTGTAAAGAGAGAAGGAAGTTCTAAAGTGCTGAAAACACTATGAAATATAAGTAATCATTCTTTGGTCATCTCTATTAATAAACTGCTCAGAATGGTTTTGGCAGGAGTCAAAAATCCATCTTTACATAATGATAAATTCAACTGGGTTTTTGTCTTACTGTGCAAGTATCTTTGTGGTCTTTCATTTACCAGTATGTCTTATAGTTATGAATTTGGTAATATAATATAATGTAAGCATCATTCTAGAGTGCAAAGAGGTGATGAGTTTTCCAGCTAGGCTAATTCTATTCTTTTTGCTGAGTAGGGGAGGGGCAATGTGAATCTGGGATGATGTTTCTTGTTCAGTAAACACCTCCTAAGAACTGAGCTGAGACTGCTGAAGTATCACCTCAGAGACCACAGAACAGCAGCTTGATGTTACTTGGGTAGAATTTGGATCAGACAAGAACAGGTGACATTGGACAGTCATATTGCATATTCCTAGGTCAGGCAGTCATTAAACCAAGTTGTTTCTTTGACTGCTTTTCTGCGTCGTTTTTACTTGCTGTGAAAGTTTTTATACGTTTATTTAAAAGAAATATATATGAAGATGTTTGTTCCCTGGTAGTTTCTTCAGTATGCACTTCTTTTATAGTTAAAAAGCACTGCATATTTTACAGAAAACCCTATAGGACATTGTATCTCATATATATTTATGTTTTTTATCTTCTATTTTTTGTTATCTACAAGGATGTTGAGATCGCTACATTCTTTGTATTTTAGGATTTAATCTGTTTGTGAATACTTCCTCTAGAAACACTGTTTTCTTCTTCTGACATTATAATGGGTTCCTTGTAAATCCAAGATTTGCAAAGTGCCACCTAATCCACTGTGTTTACTCTTGCATTGCTTTTCTCCGCATCCTCTTTTTGTTATTTGCTTAAAAATAGGTCTAGGAACATGGTGCTTAAAGTTTGTTCTGTCTACCACAAGGAGCTGTGACTGGAGTTGGAGCCTCTAGGTGACACCATCATACAAATAATCAGCTATAGTGAATATGATTTTAGTACAGAAAGGATTGATTTAATTTGGGAAATAGCCAGCAGGCACGAAGCCAGAGCCCTGTTTTTATATGTTTCTGGTAACCAATTCACTGATACAGATGGTGGGCAGGGACACTGGAATACATGAGAGCTCTTGAAATAGAATGGGCTTGTTCTCTCTTAGTTTTCTATGAAGTGTCAACAGTTTTCTGAAGTCTAGCACAAACTTCTGACATGTAAAGGCCTTACATGATAGGTTTGGGATGAGTCTTGGCTGAGCCTTCTGATTTTCTAGCTAAGACCTTTGGCTCGGGAATGGAGACACGAAGGGCTCCATCTCTCTGGGAAGGCTCTAGGGTGATGACGTTTTAATTGCGAAGTATTCAAAGGACAGGGGAAAATCTAGTGGCATTATGAAACTGCCCCAGGAGAATATTTGAAACATTAAGATCCATCAATTCTTTCTCACAGAAAGTGGACTGGTACAAGTTCTAGTAAGCCTGTGTTTCTGTTCTTTAGGCTGAGACTTTGTCTCTGGTTGCTTGGCTTGATAGGTTAGTCATCCTCCTCTTTTTTCCCCCCCTATATATTGTATATAATATATGCATTATCTATATTAAATTCCTGAATTAGTTTGAAGTTGGTCTGCTTACAAGCCTTACAACATGATGTGGCTTTCTGGTAGAGAAACCAAAGTAGGCAAATATAGAAAGACTGCTGAAATCTCAACCAGTTTAGCTAGCTGAGGGTATGCATTGTCAGGTAAGGCAGACTGCACCTTTGCAATTTTTTTCTTTCTCTAATCTGCAGAATATTCCATCTTCTTTCAGCCAGCTTGATAGTGATTGGCCGTGGTCATCTCAACTAGGTATCATTTATGATACTGGAGCAGATGATGTCTCACTCAAGTTGAACTGATTCTTGGCTAGAGGAGCTAACTCACTGTCTGGGAGGCAAATACCCAGGGCTGCCAGTTTCTTCTCTGCTCAGTCTTGTTGCCTACATACCACTTCCAGGCATGGGAAACTGATCGCTTGTGGTTCAACTCGCTCTCTTGTTTGTTTATACTTTCTGCCTGCACTAGCTTGGTGTTGTTCTCTCCTCTTTGCATCATCTATGAGAGGGTCCCACATAGATCTCATATTGCTGAAGAGCTGAAACATAAAATTCAACTCAAAACGTTCTCAGTTATTCTCAGTTCTCTTCAGGGACAAGTTTCAACTCTTCTTTCTTTCACTTACTGGTTAATCTTCTTGCATGGTGATTTTTTTAATTTTTTTTTTTTTTAAAGAGACCATGTTCTTGAAGAGACGATACCAGGAACCACCCCCAAGGCTCTCTGTCTTCTTTGTTAAGAGAGCCAGGTCCTCATAACTTCTAGCTAGGGTTGTATCTTATTCTCTTCCTGACAATAACAAGCTGGTTTGGTTACCTGTGGGTATTTTGGTAGCACCCCAGGCTCGCTAGACAGCATGGGTATTTTCCTCCCCTCTTATTGGTAATTATGCAGAAATAATTACATCCAGTTCCAATTCAGTTATTTGTTTTCAATAGCAGCTACTTTGGCACAGCACATCATCCAACAGATGGTTTCATTTGTTTCTATTCTCATGAGCCAACTGAAGTCAGCAGTTGTGCTGTATTTCTTTCAAAGTCATATCTGCGTTCAATCAGCCATGCTGCCAGGCTTAACAGCATTGCTTTGAAAGCAAGTCTTCCCTTTTTTTAAACCATCCAGCTCTACAAAGAAATAGTTTTATTCAATTACTTTCAACTACTGTCAGGCCTTCAAAATGAGGTTTGGAGAAACTCCTATTCTAATATAAAAATAATCAGGTACCCTCTGTGCCAAGGAGGGGAAAACTCTTCTGCCACCTGCTTTATTTAAAGCATTACAAACTTTTGCAGGTCATTTAGTTATCACTTGTAGCACAGAACACCATAAATATATTTTGATAGTTCTGTTGTGCACCATAGTATGTAAAGCTTGCTCAATAGAGCAAAGCTTTTTAGTCTAGCATCTGATTCTCACATTGGAAGAAGATGTAATAATAAGCATTATTTAGGAAAAAAGAAGGATCTCAACTTATTAAATCTTTTTCCAAAACTAGATGAGTAACATATCTATTCATTTTAAAACTGGAACTTTGAGAAATAATCTGATGATTACTTTGTTAATTGAACCATCAATCTCTATGAAGGAAATATGAAAAGGTTTGGGAGACTTTTTTGGTGTATACCTTTATCTCACTCTCCAAAAAGGACTAAAAGCAAAACAATGCATCCGTAAGAGGAAATATGTATGTTTCAGTTCAAGAGTTCCTACAGTGGTTTCTTAATTACTTCTTTTGAAACATGTGTTTAGTTGCAATATTTCCTGCATATTTGTGTTGTAAACCTGCACTTATAGATGACAATGGAAAGCTCCTAGTATAGTCTCCCATGTGATTTATGTGTTGTAGTTTTCTCAGTGCTAAACTTGCTTTTGCATATGTAGTTGAAATGATCAGGCAGAATAATAGAGAAATCAATTATTACCTCTTTATCATTAGAAATTTTCTTCTCTACATTTTGTTCCATTTGTTTCTTATGTATTCTTAAGCATTATTGGTTACATAGTTGGGATTTAATGATCAAACAGTTTCTTTGGAGAGTAGACAACTGTATTTCTACTAAAAGTTTCTTTGTCTCTGTTTTGAAAAGGTACTTGGGTTCTGGCACAGCTCCCAGTAGTGGTATGGTCCTCATGGAGGTTGGCTTACTCAGTGGTTTCTCTGTGTCACCAGATTTCATTCCATTACACAATACAGTTAAGAAGATGGAAAAGGACAATGGAAAAGTCAACCTATATTTAGACTCTGTAAGTTGAAAATAACAAAGAAATGTGTTTTGTAGTGATGTTAATCTTGACTCTGCCATTGCTTGGTTTAAATTTGGAAAGTATGATGATAGTATTCTTTGGGGAAATTGACATCTGCTGTTCATAGTGAATTAATAGATCCACTGCTTTTTAGTGAGACTGATTGGATAGGTACAACTCAGTTATGTTTGTAAGGGGTTTCTAGATTAGGCCTCTTGAAAGTCACATATAAGGCAGCAGACATTTCAAGAAGTCTGTAATTTGGCAAAATGACTACAAATGAGATATGCTTGTCTCTATATGCATCCTGACTTCAAGTCTTTAGAAATGAAGCGGAGCTGAGCTAGAAGTCCTTGCGTCTTCCATGAAACCACCATCACCAGGGTTCTCAGGATGTTTCTCTTCTGTTTTTCTAGCTAAATGAAACAAAGGTTTGTATGGATATTCCGGCTGTGAGAGACTTCAAAGTGGCAAATATCCAAGATGCTTCAGTGACCATAGTGGATTACTATGAACCTAGTAAGTGTCAGTCATTCCAAATGGACCATAGTGATTCAGAAATTTAAAAGAAAGTTTCTTTTTGTGGAAATAGGACAAATTTTAGTGAAGCCACATCGAATTGAAATTTACATTTTTTCAGTGAACTGCAGCCTTTTTGGACATTAACATGCCAAATTTTCTAATGAATAGTAGTGTTTTCCCATATATATGTTTGCTGTCCTAATGGGTTGGTTTCTGAGCTGGTGTGAATTGTCATAACTTAATTGTCAGCTGGTATAAATTGGCTTCCATCTGGCCCAATGCGTTCCCAACACGACCAAAATGAAGCAAGAACTTCACTGTGGTTCACTTACCGAGTTAATGATAATCTTTCAAGTAGCTTTTCCATCTGTTTCTTGTTTAAACTAATCGTCCTTCACTGGAGAAAATGCCAGTGTTTTGATTTCTATAGTTATGTAAAAAAGATGTACATGGGAAAAACAGTTTCAAAATTTTTTGGTTTGGTTTTTTTTTTTGTGTAGAGTGTGTATTAGAGAAAGGCAGCAATATACAAAGCTCTTGGGCAAAATGAAAAGCAAAGAAAGTTTACAAGCTGCTGGAGAAGATATTAGAGAGGTTTTCATTACATCGGCCAGCTGAAATATTATTAAGGATTTGGGCTTGGTTTGAGATAATTGCCTATACGACTTTTTTATGCCTCTTCTTTATGTTGGTTTGTTTTAGCACAAGACAAAAGACAACCAAATATGCTATGATGAGTACTAGTTCAGCTAGATGAAGATCATATCTATTCTATGTAGGCTGAAATGTTTGTTCAATCACAGAATTTTAAAATAAAATAGAAAATTAGTGGTTGTAATTACACTGTCTGTTAACCTAGAGCATGTTTAAAGGCCTAGTGGCTTAACGAATTAGAGCAGTTTCTCATAGAATCATGGAATGGTTTGGGTTAGAAGGGACATTGAAGATCATCTTGTTCCACCCCCCTGCCATGGGCAGGGACACCTTCCACTAGACCAGGTTGCTCAAAGCCTCATCCAACCTGGCCTTGAACGCTTCCAGGGAGGGGACAGCCACAGCTTCTCTGGGCAACCTGTTCCAGTGCCTCACCATCCTCACAGGAAAGAATTTCTTGCTAATATCTAATCTAAATCTACCCTCTTTCAGTTTGAAGCTGTTACCCCATGTCCTATCACTACACTCCCTGATAAAGAGTCCCTCCTCACCTTTCCTGTAGGCTCCCTTGAAGTACTGGAAGGTCACTCTAAGGTCTTCCTGGAGCCTTCTCTTCTGCAAGCTGAACAGCCCCAAATCTCTCAGCCTGTCCTCATGGGGGAGGTGCTTCAGCCCCTGGTCATCTTCGTGACCCTCCTCTGGACCTGCTCATGTCTTTCTTTTGCTGGGGGCCCCAGAGCTGGACGCAGCACTGCAGGTGGGGTGTCATGAGAGTGGAGTAGAGGGACAGAATCACCTCCCTTGTCCTGCTGGCCACACTTCTCTTGATGCAGCCCAGGATGTGATTGGCTTTCTGGGATGTGAGCGCACCTTGCTGGGTCATCTTCAGTTTTTCAACGACCATTTTATTTAAAATGAACACATAAGGCTTAAAATCTATGGCCAAAATGAATTTCCACATGCTTCAATTCCTAGGAGAAGAGCTAAGGACCTAGTCTTCTATAGGAATGCTGTTAGACAGGCTAATGAATATGTGTCTCAAAAAGTAACACATAAATGCACAAATGTAAATATTTTTATTCTATTTAAATACATTTAGTATCCAAATTCTCAATTAATAAATCAATATTAGTTTAGAGATATGAATTAATATCCTTAAGGACTAAAAATTTGTATGACAGTGCTGCAATAGAAAGCTTTGACTTTAAGAAAAAGATCGCTTCAAATATTATTTTACAAGACACTATTGCTAATACTATGTAGCATAGACATATTATTGGTCAACATATGTACATATGCCATGATTTTGAGTTCTCCTGAGAGAACTCCTTCCTATCTAATACAGGAATGTGGTTTTATTTTAATCTATTATTTTCCGTCACTCTCATAGTTGGTGACCCAAGCTGCAGTTATGTATTTTATGTGATGGTGACAGTCAGATTCATGTCATATTCAGAGCTAGGAGAAGTATAAGGAGTCCTCATGCTCTGGCATTTATCAGAAAAAGTTATGCCTGGGTGGCAGATATTACAGCTGGCATAGGTATAAGAACTGGCTTGGATGCCAATACACCAGTGCTGGCAAGGAGATCTGCCAGGGTTAATATATACAGCTACCCAGCACATTCAAATGGCTGCTGCTTCTCTTACCTGACTTTGTTCAGAGCTAGTTGGGTGTCACTGTGGGTAAACATTTTGCCCTATAAAGATACAGCCTTATTTTATTTTTTTTAGTATGTTGAAGCTTGAAAGGAAACTGAATATCATTTCAGTTAAAAAATACTACTAATAAAAAAAGGAAATCGCAGTGTCCCTAGTTCGAATGAAAACCTTCAAACCCACTAAGGGAAAGAAACTTAGCAAAAACTTGTTCTATGAGCAATTACCATGCATTGATGTTTTTGAAATTAATACAGTTTTCCAAGCTTCGAGTCTGTTTGCCTCTGTAGCAACCCTTGAGGGAATGAGGGAGCAAAATACAGGAGCAGGAGCTAGGTGAGGTGGGCAGTCCCAGATTCAGGAAGCTGAAGCTGCCAAACGTGATAGTGGGAGAGAAAGCATCAGTTATGAGAGACCTGGCTCTTAAATGTCATAGCCAGTAACCTGTCAGGTAAAGCATCCTTTGTCTTGAGGGTTGCTGCGTAGGTAGGGGCAAAATTCCTTTTAAAATGTTTGACCAAGGTTTGTGAACAGATTGGGTCTAACAGTTGAGATTGAGTCTATGAAAGTGTGCCTTTCACCAAGCATTTGCCTGAATACATTGAGAACATTTTTATCTTTTGGGACAAGAACAAATATTAATGCCTAGGGTTAAACATCCCCTCTGGGAAGCATTTTGCAGTGTATGATGAGATCTGCATCAGAGTTCAGTGCATCCTTTAAAAATGCTTCCTTTGGGAAGCTAATTTGTTGGTCGGTTCTCAGAAGTGCATTAACTAATGTTAACTAACCTTTCTGAACAGGGAGAAGAGCCGTGAGAAGCTACAATTCAGAAGTGATGCAAAGTGTAACCCCTTGTGACTTCTGTGAAAGTGACTGCAGTCTTTGCCACCGAGGTGGTTCTTCAGCCTTGCTTCAGCACTCTTCATTGGCCTCCTTGTTCTGTGTGCTGTTTGTCCTTCATGTAAACTTGCTGTGCAGTTGGGTGCTGTAAAAGGAAACAGATTATCTTTCACATCTAACATTTCCATAAATTATCCAAAGAAAATTTTATGTTCAGATACCAGCCCATCTTTAATGATTACAGTGACCAAACTCCTGCTGCATTCAGGGAGAGCTGGGCTGGCCCATATGGTAAATTTCTGGCTGTGCCAGAAAACTTCTTTAAGTGTCTGCTGGAAAAACTTTCCAAGTGTTAGTTTCATACTGAAGTTATTTTCTGAAGAAGCACAGAATTGCCGAGGAAGCAGTCTGAGAAAATATGAACGTAGCTCCATGTTCCCACTCCCTTTTTACCCCAGCTTTCAGTTGTGCTTGTTTTTTAGGGATGTATGTTAGTTTACTGTGCTTTTCTGAAACGCTATCGGCTTCTCCATTGGGGTGTTGATGAGCAGAGCGCTGGGAGCTTGGTATCAGAGTTCGCTTTGTTCTGTTCTGCAGGCATGACACTTAACATTAATATTGAATTTCGCTGCATGCTCTCATGGGAAATAATATCAAAAATAAAAGGAGCTGGCTTCAGAGCAGATCCGAGAGCCAAAAAGTGCTGCATTCACAAACTGCTGAATGATCCAGAAAATTGCCAGTCTTTTTTTTATCATTACAGAGAAGCTAGGTGAACTTTTTGCCAATTCATAAGCTAATCGTGTTTGAAAATAAGGCCTCTCTTGCATTTTACTCTGAAAGGCTTTTACTGTAAATGTATCATAGATGGAGTCTATGTTTAAGACTTCATTTTTCCAGGGTTATTCAGAAAGAAACCTATTTTTTTTTTCCATGTGAGAATGCTGGTGTTCACTGGCATGTTTATGGCCAGCAGGATGAATGTTGCTTTGAGCCTTTTCTGGTTTTTGGAAGTCTTCTAGAAATATCACTCTGGGGCATCATTTACGTCTTGCATTTGTAATGTTATGTTGTCAATGATTTAAGTGGCATAACCCTAAACAGCTGTTTACTGCCCTCTGTGCCATGTCAGCTTGTTGGCCCTGAATGCCAAAAACCTTTGACATGCTTGCTTAACTTTAAGCACATCCTTGTATGCTTAAGTACTGTGCTGAAGTGGGATGGAGGAGAGGTGAAGACCAACAGGCACTTTTACACCCAAATCTGCTTTTTGCACATTCGGAGAATTACAGGTCCCTATGAATGGGGAAATGTGTGAGCTTGGGACCTCTTCTCTCCCTCCTGAGTGTATGAACATCTTCCCTATCTGGCAGCCAATTTATCCTTCTTGAATGCTGCCTGAGATATCTAATGCTTGTTTCTTTCTGATAAGGAAGCCAAGCTGATAACATTCCTAGTTACTAAAATCAAGTTAATAGCTGTCATGCTGACTAACAGAGGTAGAAATTTTAAGGCTATTGATTGCCTTTCTTTCATATGTTTTTGCGACGGAGTGTGTACGTGTGCACATGTAATAATACAGCAGTCACTTTCCATGAGCAATTTCTATTTTTTATTCAAATTTTGCTGCTGCTTAAAATGTATATATTTGTGTTTTATGCTTATCTATAAAACACCACATGTTTTTATATGTTCACAAAGGAAATTAGTGGATGGTAGCATGGGAAGACATCTGAACTTCCTGAACTGGATGCCTTCTAATACCAAGGTAGAGGTTTTTAACTGCAAAACTAGTTTAGGTGGGGCTGTTTGTTTTACTTCAGCTGTATTTAGAATTTACGATGTTTTTCACAAACTTGGTGTTCTGTGCTGTCTTTTTGGCAGAGCTTAAGCCTAGTTCTTTGTAGTCGGTTCACATTTTTCACTTGTCGTTGGTGCACTTCGGATCTAGCTCCTTGAATAATCGATTAGTGCCTTAACATGAGTGCCTGTGCTGCTCTGACCCAGATGAAGTAACACTGTATTTATTGACATCCAAAGCACTACTTAGTCAGTAGGATGAACAATCTGACCCTCTGTAAATCATGCCCTTGGTTACACCGGTCCAAAGCTAATAGAAACCAAGGTACAAACTGAAACACGTCTTTGTGTTTCAAACCCTTTACCAGTGTACGGGACCAGATTGAGTTGTGCCAAGCGTAGGATATGGAAAACGTTCACACTCTAAAATGGGATGTGTTTTGCTGTGGGTTTGATTTATTGGTGAACTATGAAAGCAGATCATCCTTTGCCTTTGGGGACAGCAGCCTTGACATGTCATTTGCCTCCATTTAATACCATTTCAAGAACCTAGAGCTCACATACTTTCAGTTTTTACTATATGTAGAGCTTCTAAGAGGGACGTTGGTACCTGATTAATTTTAGAATAGAGAGGCTTATTTTCTAGACAAGATGTACTGGAGATAAACTACTCCTTTGCTGTAGATAGTAGGAATAAATTAGTTTTATTTTGCAGGCAGTCCCAGCTTCCTGATTATCATCCAGAAAAATGGATTTAAAATGCTCAGCCTAATTTCAGACAGAGCAGCTTTTATTAGTATTCCCTTACATTTGTTTTTGAGACAAACACCACATGTTTTTATATGACTCTTGGCTGCCTTGCATGCCCTATTAAGAAGCATCAATCATAATGCACCATGTCATGGAAATTGTCAGAGTCAGTGAACAAACATCCTCTTTTATTTTACTTTTTTTCTATACAGCAGGCATATCATTACAGACATCGAATTCTGCCTCTGTACTAAGCTATTTTAAAGGAACAGAGTACATCGTATGACTTTAAACAAATGCTTACACTAGGTGGCCTGTAAAATTCCTACACCAATGCCTTCAGTCACTTTGCAGTTGCAGCTAGTGCTTTGAATGAGTTGCGGAGGATAAGTTTTGTATTGTGTGTTGGCAGTGAGTGGAACAGAGGAAAGGGAATATTATGTGGCATAGTGACTTTTTTTGTTTTCCTCATCGTTATATAGGAACCTTTACACAAATGCTCAGCATATATATTTTTCCATTGCTCTGTAAAGTCAGTTTTGATGTTAGAGGGGCCATGCACGCACTGAAGTTATTAGGAAATCTTTTAGCAAAAAATCTTTAGGAACTCTTTAGGAACAAGGTCTTTAAGGAGTGATGTTAAAAGCAGTCAGCAAAAGTTATTTGGTGATGGAGTCTTCATGTTGCATTGCCTGAACATTTCTGTGTGGTTGCTGTTTCTTTGAAATCTGATTATTCTCTGGTACTGCCCGTGCCCTTTTCAGCCATATGCTGTCGATGGACGTGGTCTGTGCAGGGCCATTGGTACTCTATTAAATCGGTAAGAACTAGTCATTTATTTACGATCAAGTTTAAAACAAAAACATAATGCATTTTAATGGATATCCACCCCCCCACCCCCCACCCCCTATCCCCATCTTTGCTGTCATCCATGCTCTTAGCTGAGGTTTTCTCTACAGGTTTCTCTGTGGGTGTCATCTAGAAACCTTCTATATTGAAGGCTGTTGTACAGAACAGGGAATGAGTGCTGCCTAATGGGCTTACAGCACCTCAGTCTGCATGCTGGACCAGCTCAATGGCTGGTTTGGTTCCCAGCATGGCACCACCATGCTCCCATTTACTTCATAAGCAAAAGCTTGTTCACAGTAATGGCATGTGATAAAAGGGGGAAGTGGCCAGACTGGTGCAGGAGAAACAGAAGAGCCAAGGTCCAGTGTTACATGCCTCTCTTTTGCCTTGAAAGTCACTGTTGAAAATCAAACCTAAGATTCAGAAATCGTTTTTACTCAGTTTTCAGAAATCCTAGCAGTATTTCTCCAGATGTGTTGTTCAAGTTGGTATGAATATTGACAATATTTGGTTTAAGCAGATTCCTGTAGAAAGCATATGTATATACACAGGCATTATATAGGATCCAATGTACTACAGTGTGCAATGTATGTTTAATTTAAAGCATACAAGATCTTCACAAAGTGCCCAAACCAACAACGTTGTGTGATGTTCTGTTTTTCAAACTATACGGTTAGGTTTTTAGGAAAGATTATATTTGGAAAGCAGCTGGCACCTAATGGCATAATTTTTCTATCATCTCAAACACTAAGAAAGTGTATTCAATTGTAATTCCAATGGCCAATACTACTTCTGTTCTAGCCTTGCTTCTGCCATAAATCTTTATGCAGTGAACCATCTTTATGTGTTTGGTCCTCTAAATAGAAGATTTTCAAATTAGACGTTCTCACTAGTAATTTATCCATAAAATATAACAGCAGTTATGTGATCAGGTCTTTTGAGTTATTACTAGATTCTCCTTTTCCCCGTGTCAAAGTATCTGACTTCAGTGTTGTTTCTTGTTCAGTTTATTGTGTTTTTGTGTGCCACTTGGCAATATCAGTGCACTAATGCTATTCTATGCAATAAAGCCTGACAGTGTGCTGTATTAGATCTATCCAGTGACTATTTTTCTGAATGGATAGCTTTTTATTTTCAGATCTGTATGAGCATTAATTGCTTATGTGCTACATTTGAGTCACCAGTACGCCAGGGTTAAGATACTCTTTCATTTCAAATTATACATTTTATTTCTGTATTTCTTAGTGGTTACCCAAAAAGCTTCATCAGCTTTGCTCAGATCTTACAATGTTATATTATGAATTGACTTTTTTGCTGTGGTTTTTAGTATTGTTAGGTTGGATGGGATACTAATATGAGGAAGAAATGATAAAAAATGCTGGCTCAAAGGAAGTCTCATATAAGCAGGTGTAATGTACCATACATTAGCTGTCCTACTGGCTATTGCATCTCTTCTTTTTCCGTATCAGGCCTTAAGCAATTTGAACTGAAATTCTTGGCTGCCTTGAGACGTAGTCAGATACCCACTTTGATCTAGTTTAGGATCATCATACACAGTTCCACTTTTGATCAAATCAGAAATGGTAGAAAAAGAATGCTTTTATGAGCTGTTTTGAGTGAACAGAGGTGAACTAATGTGCCAGCTATGCAAATTGCTTCTGTCTTTTCAAATAATAAATGTTAAGGAACTAGACTTTTTCACAGGATTTTGGAAAATTGTCATTGATTTATTTTTCTTCGAATAAAGTTTGC